CTCGTCCAACGACGCATATATTGGTGGATATAAATGAAGGCAACGTCCAACGGTAAGAACTTGGTTCTTAGATGGCAAAAGGTCATTCAGAAACTAAAAAGATCGCTTCATGTCTAGGAGAGCGGCAGGTATGAAAATAGTCTACATTGACAAAAAGGTGGTTTCAGTAAAAGAAGGGAAAATGACGAAAATGACAATTTGCGCATAAAAGATTAACAAATATTTTAGAGATTTTCATTGAGTAATTTCACATTACTCACTTACACTACGAAGTCAAGACAACATTTAAAGTTAAAAGAATGGAAAAGGGTGGTTAGAGGTTCTCATCTAAATTCCTGTATGCTTCTCACTGAATATGGCGAGTGCATCTGCCGCCGACTGATAAACTTAAAAGTGTCGTGTAATTTTTTAAATTAATTTCATCACTGCTATTATCTAGACTAGTGGTAATCACATTACCGTAAACCGTTTAAACAGTGGCCTTGCCACACGATATCATTTTCGTGTCTCTTCAATATGGAGTAAAGAAGTTGGGAGAGACATCCCTCCGTCGTTCATTCTGCCGCTACAACGGAGAGAGCTCTGGTTAAGAAAATGCCTGCACTCCAAACTACTATATTTCTACTGAAGTCGATACTATATCATTCATTACTTTCTCTCTGGAATATTAAATCCTTCCATATTTATTGTTCCTAAACAATAACACCAAAATTGAGTTGATCAGGTTATATTAACTTTGTAGTTCTGCAACTCTGTGAGCTGCCTCGTTCCTGAGTAGATCATCGTGCCCAGTCTCTTCTGTTTCCTCGTCACACGTAACCAGCGGAGTGTACTCGCAATCATCGGCAGCCTGGTCACAATGGCACAGGCGTTTTATGGCGGCTCGATATAGATCGTGCACTTCAACGACAAAGAAAAAGAAATACGAGGTCAGACAAAGATTTACTGCAATATCATAATTTAAGGCACAAACCAGCAATAATTAATGAATATTTTTATGTCAATCGGCTCAACAGAAACGTGGTAAAACAGCGTGCTACTTCTCTCATGAGCCAAAAAGGGAAAGTCTAAATCTCTTATATTGAAGTACAGTGGAACCCTGCCTAACGGTCACCTCGTTAACACGGTAACCTTTTTATTATGGCCACTTTTTTCACGTCCCGGCAAAACGCCCATACATTTTCTTATTTGAAAACACCGTTAATGTGGCCTCCCCGTTAACACGACCAACGGCCACATTTTAAAATCTTAACCTGTATATTCCATTATAATTTTAGACCGTTAATACGGTTACTCGAACCAGTTATGTTCATCTTTCCATTGTTAATATTTCATACACTGATTCAAGTTTCAATTTTCCTAAAAATTATATCCACATTCCGGATGCTTATTAAGAACAGTTGTTTAGAAGTGCAGATGTTTTAGTCACTTCATAAAGGTTCAAGTACGTTGAGTTGGAGATCAGTGATTATACGTGCTTACCTGATTGGTTGATTTGAGCCCTGGCGGTCATGCGCAAAATCAGGAAAACAAAAAGGGCGAAAATGCAAACCAAGAAGCCGATCACAAGGAACGAGAGAGGTCCTTCTCGTGCGAAAGCCTGGTAGGGAAAATAACCATAATCAGTAGCTTAATCAATCAGCACTGATTGCTATGCAACATGGTGGGAATTGGCGGATGCGCATTTCTTTCTTGATCTGCTGAAGTATTCCGTTATTTCAGTCAAGAAAATCTACCAAGACTGTGCTAACTGAAGACAAAATATCGTAGAGAATAAGTTAGGCTATATCACCTTTCCAACAAGTAGTGGGAACACCATCTCTCCTGTGGCAGAACTAACAATCAGGATACTTGTAATGGAACCTAAAATACAACGGAATAAGATAAGCATTACGACGAGATCCATCGATAAATCGGGTTTTTTATACGTCATGTAGATGTCCTTGAACTACTCTCTTGTTTTTGTGCGACGTTTTTGTTAGTCCTTGGGAGTTTACTTGCTTCGTAAACTGCAAATCATCTTTTTTAAGTAAAGAACATCCTAACCAGTATAGAGGTGGCCATGCAAAAATGCCAACTCAGAAGGTTGATCATTGCTTTGTTCTGAGTCGTTTGATTATTAATTTCCTCAAACTAGTAGATAATTCCTAACGTAGAGCTTCCGAATTTCGTTCAGTACAACTTATCGGCATAAAGAACATCCTGATTAGCCGAAGAGGGGCTTTTAAATTCCATTGTATGAAAAGACGGCATAAGATTTGCCAATATTAGTTTACCTGTTACGTCAATGTAGTGTTCTGCCAGAGATAGCGTGGAGGGAAACACAGAACTCATGAAAAGACCAAACGCACCGCTACCAATCCATAACGCCAGGGAGAATTGGTGTAGATATAATATGAAGGAGATTGCTGTGAAGCATCCAAACTGCAAAGGAAAAAATGTATGCACTTGAGAATTTCATACTATCTCTCTTTGTGCCTACTTAGCCTTGATATGTAAGCTGTCCACTTGTATTGATCTAACTACCTCACTATGACTCTGAAATAAAGCCGAAATATTGTAACAATCTCTTCTTGCATTGTAACAAACTAAAACTTGGTTTTCAATAATGTTAACAATCCTCGTGCGCGTCTTGTTTATGTTATATTCAAAGTTGTCAGATGGTGCTTTTTTTTGTGTGAATTTTTGTCCAAAGCAAAATTACTTTGACTTGAGATCCACCCAAACAGCAAAGCGCGTTGATTAAGTTGTTGATTAACTTTGCAATTCAGTTTGACTTTTTTTCAGACTCCTTTTGTTGCTTTAGTCAAGACATTAAATTTTAATTGCGCATGTGCATGGGGGTTGGCTCAGTAGTTCAAATATAGGATCAAAGGAGCGTGTACCACAAAGAAGGAGTGCATAACTCTTATCACCTGGTTGGTTTTGGACGGGAAACAAACAGTAATGGACAGAAAACGTACGTCATATCTGTAAGGGATGTGGACCTAAGGTACACATTGGTGGCAAAATAAACGGAATCTTTGACGGACTTGGCTCATTATGGCGGGAAAATAATACAACCTGATCTGACTTACCAGATTTACGAAAAGCATTTTGTCGGGTACCAGGAATACAGAAACAAGAATGGAGATAAACCTTCCAACAGCGAACGAACACTGCAAATTACAAAAGAGAAATGATAAGAGCAACATCTGTAACTGAATATAGAGAAAATGAAGAGGATTCACACAAAATTAAAGTCGACAAGTCCGCGTTTTTCGTCTTACAAATTGCTAAGTTAGACGACTTTTGCTTAGGGCACCACCCTGTGGGAGAAATTGCTGGAGTAATCGTAAGTGTTCGAAGTAATCTTTAATTGGTCAATAACAATCGGAGACACTTCAGCTGCTTTTACGAAGACTAGCTTAGAGCACCACGTTGACGAAGAAGTCGATGGAGTACTCGTAAGTGCTCGAGATACACTTTAATTGTTCGATAAGAATCGGAGACAGTTCGGTTGCTTTTACAAAGATTTGCCAAAAGAAACGGTTGTTGTTCTGAGTACTTGATAAACGTTTGTTCACTTACCCAGAATAAGGAATTAACATACGCAGCATGACTGGGTGATAAATGAATGTCACTTTTGACGGCATATGTGTACAGGTATCCACCATATGCGCCCTGAAACAGATAGAAACAAACTAGAATCTTATTCCGAAGAACACGTTAAATTAGAACAGGTTATTAGAACAGGTTATTATATGTAGAGGTTACTAACACATAAATGTTGCAGACAAGTCGATTTCACCTGGTTCTGTTGCACCCCACCCTTATGTCACACTTCAAATTGCGCACCCGTAGCGGCGTAAATTGAAAGTGTAGGAATCAGTGTTTCACTGCGCGCGGCAATATCTTGAATATACCTTTTTCGCATTGAAGAATGGAAGCACTACAGCGTGCTACTCCCGGTATGACTAACAAAGAGAGAGAAAAGTTCCCTCGCCAATTGAAACGAGCTGTTCACGTTACCTGCAATCCGTCAAACAGGAACAACAACAGGCCTGCTAGAAGAGTTACCAGCGGTATTTTGGCGGGAAGACTGCAGAACGATAGCCTGATTGAAGAATGGTCAGCGGCAGGCTTGAACACTTGGGGCAGATCTGGAAAAAAGTTATGGTTGCAGGTTGCGAAAATGTATTTTTCGTAAGATCAACAAATGTGGACAGAAAACACCAGTGGAGTGTAGACCTCCAGCCTCTTATTTTACTGAACAATGTCGACGTAAATTTAATACCGTCCACACGCACGCTGTCTACGTAATGCAATATTAATTCAAGCAAAATCAAACTATTGTTGAGCTTAGTGATCGGTTCCTTACCCTCGTTTTCTGTTTCATCTGCATTCCCAGCAGGCAAAGCGGCAAGAGTGACCACTCTTCCGGCGAAAATCTCGGGTGACCAGCGCCTGAGATATCGCTGTCTGTAGATAAGGTAAAATAAGCCTGACTGTACGGGCACCTGAGGAGAAAGTCAAAGTTTTCTCATTGGAATGTAAATTTCCTATAGACCAACGCCCTGACGAAAACACTAACGTTAGAAATCGTTACTTGCCGTGGGTTTAAAATAATGACTCGGCAACAAGCACACAAACCGAAATTAGAAGACAGATACAAACTGAAGAAAAGCTGTCAGTCAGAAAGTACACTAAACATAACACTAGTGTGGTAATGATATTTACTGCTATACATGAACGTATTCACAAGCAGTGGGTAAACAAACACTTGTTCACAGATATAGGCAGACATAGAAACTGGCCTGATGTGCAATCGTGTAAGCGAACCCTGGACATTTCTTGAACTCTTTAATTTTCTGTTCTCAAGTTATTTATGTAATTACACCATGGACTGTACTTAACACTATTTTGACCTACTTTTGACCTTTCTATTTGCACCATGCATTGTACTTTAGATTATTTTGACCTGCAATCGCACCTCGCAATATTTCTTTTAACTTTTAACATTGGAATGATGGTAGTAACTTTGTAAAGTATTCTATACGTAGATGCAGCGCTATTGGCCGCGGTAGGCATACCGTACAAGGCACTTGATAATAATGGCGCGAAACAGACAACCCCAAGCAGTAGACAAACAGACATACTGACAGAAAAACAGGCATTCTGACCTGTAATAGAGCTATAAGCCAGTAGGCATACTGTACAAAAGACTTCGTGTGGTAATGGCGGGACACCTGTGACATAGTTTCATTTAATGCCGTCATGTTTACTTGCATGCCATCAATATTGTATTCCATAAGTCCTTCCAGTGTCGAGTTTTCAAGTGTCCAACCAAAGATATTGGTTTGGAAATGTCCGTCTGTACACGCACTGCGAAGAAACGGCTCTGCTATAACAGGGCTCACCAGGGCACCCAGGCCATAGAAGAAGTGTAGGGACTGGTGAGGAGAGAAGTAAGAAAACAAGCAACGAATCAACAAGTTAAAGACAAAGCCAAAGATGATTTTTCACATCTTAAAATGACCGCTGGACCGGTTAAACGTTTTGATTGCTAGATCATCGTGCATAATACAAGTGAGAACGTACCTGCAGTCTTGGTGCAACCTGTATATAAACAAAAGATATAGATAAGTAATTGAAAGGATAAAAAGTAGAGGAAGTCTCGATCAAGAATGAGTAGACACTCAGACTCGTACCCAGTCACTATTTACGTGTTTTTGGGGAGAGAAGATTGAATATTAGGGTACCCTTGCCATCATACCTCGCACGCCTTAATCCACCCTAATCCAGTCTTCTTCCTCCCTAAAACACGTAAATAGAGCCTGGGTACGAGTCTGGTAGACACTATGGTATTGAATAAAACGAAAAACAACATTTACTTGTCCAGGTGCATGCGGCGCAGTGACATTTTGGGAGAAAAGTCGATTTGGTTTTAATGACATATTGGTTATGTTGGTGTCTATTTGTTGAAAGGAGAAAATGGACGTCGACCACGTGTTTTTATGAGTGCTATATATCTACCAACCTTTTTGCCGTGTATCTTGATTAGAACGCTATTTGCCACAGTGTCAATCACTCCCATGTGGACTCCCAATAGGGCGAAAAACGCCAGCATTATCCCAAACACGTGACATACAGGGATTACAGCGAGGTAGATTGCCACAGATGTCACGCAATATAGCAAGATAATGTTGCAGTCGTACCTGAAATATATAGGTAAGCAAATTCAAGTTTTACTTCAGGGGTTGGTATCTCATATTGTTGTTTAGCAATTGAGCAGGCGTCTTCTCTCCGTCTTTTTTATAGGGGATGTTTGCACCCGGCTAATTTCGTGCCCATATCTCTACAGGCTAATTGCATCACTGTTCTTTTATTGGTTTACTTGTTTTCGTTCCTTTGAATTATCATATTTTTTGCGACTTATACCGATTACAAGCTTTGTTTCGAGTTGTTATTTTAAAATTAATTTTATTATTATTATTGGCCAGGTAATGTGACATTTGTCAGGTTCAAAGAACAATAGAATACTGCACCGATCTTACTGTTCAGGTGAATGACGTTTTATGCCCGGGGGGGGAGGAAGGGACTCTCATCATTTAAAACGGTCGGTGACGCTCGTCGCAGAATGTGAATTAAAGCCCTGAAGGAGACCAATCTGTGACTCGAGCTTTATTTAAACCCCTAAAGATACTACTTTAAAACGGACATGACGGTGTTTTTTATTTCTTCGAGTGTAACCAAAAGAATATGATCATAATCTCTTTGTGTAATCCGAAAAATATTTGTGTTTCGTCATGATTTACACCCTTAAGCGAGACGATGAGCATCCTCGACCTTTTCACATGGGATACCCTTCCCCGGCTTGTTTTCCTTCTGTTGATTTTTTCTGCGCTTTATGCCAATTACAAGTTTTGTTTCCAGTTATTGGTCAGATAATTTGGCATCTGGCAGTCTCTGGAATGGAATATTGCACTGATCTTACTGCGGGTCAGGTGACTGACATATACTGTTACGTTAACTATACACTGCGCGGGGACATTTTGGGTTTACCAAGTCATTCAAAATCGTTAACTTGGAAAAGACTTACAGTGACATGACACAAACTAAATGAATTTTCCGGTTTTTCATGATGAGTTAATCTCTAGCGCCTAATCTTTCTTTAGATAAGTAACGCTCTAGAGACAACTATTCATTGGCTTGTAAAAGAAATTCAATAGCTGGTGAGATAAAACTGGCTTAATTCGAAAAAATTTCATGATATGAGCATCTATACCTATATATAACGTGATAATTTAACGCGAGAGAAATAATTACGATATTTACTTTTGCCTCCATGATGAAAAGGTTTGTTTCGTTTTTCGACTAAACTGGAGTAGACAAATAAAAAAGTGTTATGTTAAACAGAAGAACGATCTCAATACGAAGCTGTGTTTCTATTTAGCAGTTAAAATATCATTAATATTTAACGATACGCCAATCAAATCTCAAAAAACAACGAATACACATACACTTACTGATATCAATTTTGCACGCAAGGCATTAACTAAATCAAAACGCATAGTCTTCTAAAGGGAAACTCTTTTTTTAGCGTATCTAAGCTGGACGTAATGTTCTTTCCTTTATTAACAATAGTTGCAGCGTTGCTGCAGTGTTGACAGTCGTATGCTAGATGCAGCAGACGCAACAGTTCTTTGAACATTACCCGGAGCTGGTGTTTGGTGTTTTTTCTATCCATATAAACTAAAGAAAAGCGGAAAATCGCACAGAATATAACTCTAAACAGCGAAAAACTTACACATTCTACATTTCATATTTGCTGTCATCTCTCCATGCTTTTGGCAAAACTCACTGTCTCATTCGGTAAAAGAAAATAATGCGATATGTTGATAAAATAAAACTACTTAAGAAATAATCAAAGATTACTCAAGACATTGATAATATCAAACATCTTAGCCATAGTGAAAAAAGGTCGTAATCTGGTATGAGCTTAATCCATTTTGATAGTTTGGTCGAATTTCACGTTGTCTCCATATTCTGAAGACGCAACAATCCTCTAAGCTCTGTACATGTGTTGACGAGTTCGTTTGCTTTCTTTTGTTTTAAGGTGGATTATAGACCGAAAAATCATTTTATTATTTGAACATAACTATTCAGTGTTCCGGTTTTACTAAACTCACGTGTCACTAGTGAAAGAATCTTTGATCGTTCCGAAGCAATTTTGTCAGTAAAAGTGCAGATCTGCGCGCTTTATTACATTCAGTACCTGTGAGACTTTAAGGATTTAATTGCTCAATACTTCTTAATCCGATATGTTGAAGAGGAAATTGTACAGTTGCGCTCAAGATTTTATCAAATTCCGCTTTCGCTCGCAAAGCAAAATAAAAAAAAAGTTACAAAACGTTTAAACCTTTGGTTATTTTGCCACCTTTAAATTGAGACCCCGAAACTATTACGGTTTAAGCACTATAGCTTACGTTAGAGAAAATATATCAAACTTCTTACCTGTCTGCCAAATAACCTCCTAAACTTGAACCAAAGAGCGCGCTTAAAGCCTGGGAGAAAAACACCCAGCTCATAACATTCAACGGCCGATTGGTAACACAGCCTAGTTCGAGTAATGTTGGTCCGATGACTGCGGCGGCCATTCCAAAAGTCCAGAAGGATCCACAGTAACATATTGTCGCCTTGACACTCTTAAGGAATTCTTCTTCGTTTCTGTAATCTTTCAATCTTGAGGTTGAAGAGTTGTCTCCCGCGCGGGAGCCTTTCTCGCGTTTGATCGTCGTTTCAAAAATACTTGGCACATCTCCTTTAAAAAAATTATCCAACATTTTTCGGAGCAAGTCGATAGGAATGTATAGTTTACTCCTGCTGCAAGAACCTGCGGATAAAACTTCAAGCGAATGCCTTCATTTTGATCTCAAAACGGACTGCATTTCTGAAAAATCACTTCTCTCCATTTTGTCTTGGGCTACGTTGCGCGAAACTGAAATTTATGCGCGTGACGTCACCATTGGGAGCGAAACAAATTCGTTCAAGAAAAACCAAAGCTTGCGACCAAAAATTTTTCAGTTCGCCGCCGGCAAACTTGTTATTTGCTACCCGTTGTTCACTGATGAATATTCACTCTTGAGGACAAATCATTGTTTATTTTCCATCATTCTTGCTATTATAATAACTTTATTGTTCATCTCCATTTGACTAGCCTTAGATTTTTGTTTCGAAATTATTGTTCGCGACAAGATTCACGCATCAAAAATTCATGATGCAATGTTTTATTTATTTGTTAGGCTGAAGGTGTTTCTGTGCCTTCTAAATATTGCTCTATGTAGTTTGAAATATTTTGCATATAAAAAAAGAAAATATCGAAAAAAAGAAGCTGTCAGTTATTACAGAATGAGGCAGGCATGAAAATAATATTGTTGCAGGGTTAAGCATTGTCTAATGGTTTAGAACTTCTACTTTATGATCTAAAATGAATCTCTTATTTTTCCCTAGCATATTTGCTATTTAAGTTTCGCTTTCAACGTGGAAACTTTTCTAAGGTTTAAATCGTTTTTCATATGTAGAAAGGAAGAGCTTTTGCAGTTTAATTATTCAAAGTTCGCAATTAACCAGAATATTTCTTTGAGTCTAACTCGTGAAAGTTCTTAATTATTTAAAATATTCAAATTCAATGAAACCACAGTTTCTGTAAATCACGTTGCTAGTGCGCTGTGGGAGTCCTGCGATGCCTTGTGGTACCCTGTGGTGTAGTGTGGGATTTCTAGCCTGATCGAAGTCTGATCTATTGTCAGCGTTATAACTAAATTATCACCGCTTCCATCAAACCAAACTAGTAACATCGCTGGAAATCACTTTATGAATGGGAAACAAAAAGTGTTAGCGATATGTTCTATTCCTTCACACACAGAGTAGAAAATCTATCACCTACGAAGATCAAAGACACAATTCACGGAAAAAGATTTCTTTGCAAAAGTGATAAATCATCAACTACAAAAAAAATCGTCTTTCAAATTTCAATGCATTGTCAAAAACAATCATCAGCTTATAGTTTTCTTATCAGATAACAAGCAATCATCTGTTAAGTGCTGGAAATATAGCACCAACTCCTCAGAAGAAGTATTTAAAGAAACTCATGTTTTAAGAAGGGAGGGGAACTGACAGATCTCGCAACAGACGCAATGTGAAAATAGCGAAACAAAGTCGATGATGTTCATAAACGTAATGATGGAAAGAAAACCCTACAGTAGTGAAAGGTCTCAACTCTTGTGTCGCCTATTGAACGTGGCTCAGGAGGCCTAGCTTAAGTACTGATTCCAAAGCATGAGCTGACTAGGAGTATTACTATACTTCTCAAGCTTAAGTTTAAGCTAAATCTACGTCAGGCCAAACGGCCCATACAAGCAGAGCTTATCACGGTTTCTGTAGCATGAATTGACTGGCCATGAGAGTATTTCTACTCCCCCTTGGATGGGTTGTAAGTTCATCGCAAGGTTGGCTACCAGCATTAATTCACCGTCTCTCATTTACGCACCTAGGTGGAGACAGGGTTCGAACCGAAACCACTCGATCAGGAATGCAGTGCGCTAACCACTGCTCTTCATACTGATGGAGTTTTGGTCGCAACAGTTTTTCTTAGGTTGTCAGAATCTCAGTCTAATCCATGATGCTTTACGCACTCAATTTCGCTATGCGATGCTTTCTGAGATTAAAATGGTCCAGACCACGGAGAAACTATGGCATATTGGTCGTTTCCCGTTGTCCCTCAAGCTTAACAATACCCCAATAAAGGGTAACAACGGGAGAGTCACGATACTATTTTCCGTTATCTTAACTCTTCTACATTCCTCCAGAGACCTTCTATAAACGTTTCAAACCGCTAAGAGAGGTAATGTTAATGGCGACTAATAGTGAAGGGAAAAATCACTTTATCTAAAGTTTCCACGATACAATTACGAGGCCTGACCCAATTTGGCCAGCATTATTTATTTTGTGTCCTTTTACTGACCAGCTCGTTAACAAATATTTGCTAACAATATCTAGCTAGGTGTGTAATAGAATCATACTTAACTTCAATTGGTTCCCATGTCCCCTTAAATATACTTCGGTCAATATTTACACCACTGGTTGTCAGTTATTCAATAGCATGCGTATTTTAAAAACCAATGTCTTGACTTTTTAAAATTGAGATATTCCTCATAAAATGTTTGTCTCGTACCAGCTTTCTGTAACCAACTAACGTGCCTTTAAAATTCTGAAATGATTTCTTGGATTCTCAGGTCAACCAAAGGCGAACACGTACTGCAATAGTGGCAAGCGCGCGAAAATTAAAGTGGATTGCGAGCGCGGGAAAAATGCAACCATTGCGGGTAAGGGCAGGATGGTGACTGGTGGTACGCGGGAAATAAACCGCCGGTGTGGTAAGCGCGGGAAAAAATGTGACAGAGTTAAGCGCGGAAAACCTTAGCTTAGATAACCAAATCACAATTGTTTTGAGTTTCGTATCAGATCACCAAAACGACAGCATCTCTATCTAAATATAATTGGAAGTGTGGGAATGTTTCGGTAAACAAACCGCAACAACTTTTGGTTTTGGTATTGGCTTTGATGATATCTTTACTGTGATTGGCTACAGCACACTGCACAACAACCTCAACTCACAGAAGCCCAACTAAAATATAAAATTTCGAAAAATCATTAAAAAGCCACTCTAAAAGAACTCAGTCTGCTAATCTAATTATTTTAAAACACGTTCTAATGGCCTAGAACCGATGTTTGTTATCCCTGAATGTTCAGTTCAACTGTCTCTATTGGAGGACTGTCATCAGTTTTCACAGTAGGAGTGGGCTCGGGTGTTTGGGTTTGGTATGTAGGTTGATTAGCAGAGCTTGGAGGCGAACCGCACCAGACGAACCAGAAAAATCCAAGCCAGTCTGTGAAGAAAAGACGTACACAGTTACCTTTAGATTGAAGGATACCTTAAAATAATAGTTTATTGAGATAAAAAAAAACAACAAACACTAAAGAGATAATAATCAACTATAAAGGGGCAAGGATGGTTAAGGATGGAGAAGATTCACACGGATTACAAATGACATACTTGGAAAATTTAGGCTAAATTTTTTAAGATGCGCAAACCAGGACGTAGCTACTTTGACGTTTAAGTCGTAAATCACTGTTCGAGTTTTTCAGAATCTACCTTAGAAGAAGAAAGTCTATCGTGGCAATCATTCAGTTGTTTGGTATCGGGAGCCGTGAAAATAAAACTTATTCAGCGAGAAGGTGATGTGCCGTTCTGTAAATTCCTCTTAAAGGCATATTCAAGAATTTCCGTTTCTTATCATTCAGTCACATGCAGTGCAGGCGCTCCACGAGTTGCCATATCTGCTTGACGTCATGTGCATCGTCATGTTGCCAGGCAACATCCCTTACTACAGTAAAAGCCGGTGTATCTCGAACATTAGTTGGACATTCATACAGAGTAAAGGGGATGGGGAATTCTTATGAAAATACTTTTTACTGTTCGTCACTCACCAGTCTCTGATCTTTCCGCTGACCGCAAAAGAATGAAGATCATCAGAGCCATGAAGCATGCGCAGAAGGCAATCGCCAGGAAACTAACAGGACCTAGTCTCTCAAATACCTAAAATGACATAATAAGTTGTTTTAGTTAAAACGGAATCCCGAAGACATCAGTGTCCAGATCAGGGCAGAGGGTTCACTCAACTTACTGTCTATGTAGAGATAATCTTTCATGCAGTCTCAAAGAAGCGAAGACGATACCTTCTCTCCCCAACTGTTTTAAATAAATTTATATTTAGTATTATAGAAAAAGCATGATTATCACTTAAGAAAAATTTTCCACCTCATCTTGGTACGAGAATCCACATATTCCCCCTTCGAATTTCCTGTTGCTGTTGATTAACCAAGCTGCTCTTGTGAAACCGCAAACCGACCGAGAAACAACTAGAACAATTGAGAACTAGAATTACTCTGGTGGTGGTGGGGGTAAGGTGGGAGAGGGGGGTGGATCGCACACTCACCTGTCCGACTACCAGGGGCAGGATTAGTTCACCAAGGGCTGCGCTGACTATCATTACACTTGTCACTGGGGCTGTACAGCAAAAAAAAAGAGGCATAGGTTTGCGTTACAAATGTGAAGATTTTCGATACAAATAAGAATATTAATAAGGAAAAGAAACTATGCTTCGACAGCTTCGTTTCACAGCTCAGCCAAATTGGGCTACTTTCAAACATGTCGATTCGTTGCTGCATGTAATAAGTGCTACTGTATAAAATGGTTTTGTTGCTTACCACAGTAGACTAGCACTTTAGCAACAGAAACTTTAGCAATATTAGAATTAATCCGTTCCGCTTTGAGCTACATGATAATGTCCGTTAGTAGAATTTCTGTTCCTAAGCAAGCAACGAAACCATTAATTTCTAACCTGTGAGGTCAATGTAGTACTCAGCGAGCGCAATGCTTGTTGGGAAGACGCTGCTCATGAATAGTCCAGCACCGCTGGTTCCCAACCATAATGCAGGCTCACTCTCTTCGAAAATCAACATGAAGAGAGTTGAAGAAAGGCAGCCAACCTGAAAAAGACGATATAAAAAGTCTTAAATGTGCATTCGAGCTCACGTTAAACATAAAACACTACAACAAGACTGTTTTGTAGTACAAAAGTAGGTATGTAACTAGCCTGCATTACTGAATTGCCGTTCCGAATAAACGACTAACCTCCAATCTTGTACATCTCCGTATTGCTAACGTTATTAAACTCCTCTCAGCTTTCCACTGCAAACTTAAACGAGCGTAATCGCTCTACAGACCCTATACGTGGATCTCGTGGGTCTTGCGTTTTCTTAACGCTCAATTTTGTTGTTGCGTTTGCTTCTGAGAGCGAATGGGCAAGAGCATGAAAATACGGACTAGCTGACTGGTGTCAAGTGGACTGGACTTCAGAGAAGTAAAGAGGGAAGACTTACCAGGTTTATCATCAACATGGTGGGAGGTTTGACGTACATTGCCACTGGAATGGACACAAATCGACCAACTGACAAAGAACCCTGAGATTATAGAATAAAAGCAAGAATTATTTTACAAGAAATAATTTGAAACATTGAAATACCGAAAAGAGGAATACCGTCTAGAGTTTATGGATTGGTGGCTAATTAAACAGAAAGAGTTGACATTGCTACGACTAAGCCTTGACAGGCTTCGTCCAGTTTTAACAAGGCTTGTATGTAACGTTTGCTGCCTAAGTAATTACAAATGTTGCCTAAGTGTTATTGAAAGAAGTTTACGTGACTAACTTACCCAAAATAGAGAGTTGAGATAAGCTGCGTGACTCGGCTTGATGTGCACAGCACCTTTCACTGCGTACGAGTACACATAAGCACCAAACGTGGCCTGGAATTTAAACGGAAAAAGGTTAGAGATGAGAATTCGAAAAGTTATGTTTTGAAAAGAAATTTCACTTCACATACCATCAGTCCATCGTACAGAAGCAGAATCAATGACGTCAGAACTGTAACAAGAACAACCCTCGGTTTTTGATCGTCACCGAAGACCTTAAGCCACGGGGGGTTTCCATTAAGGTACAAAGTCACCATGTGATGGTTATAACCTGAAGGAATTAATTAAAAATATCAAACTTGATGACAGGGGCGGGTTTATTACAGAGATTGTCGTATGCATGCTAGTAGCTTTCTTACTGGCGACCTCGTTCCTGGTTCCTCGATCCCTTCATGACAAAGAAACCTAGGTGGGTTATTTTTGACTTGACCAATCAAATCAGAGAACTGAAGCGTGTGATTGATATGAAGGTAGATAAAAACCCACCAGAAGCATGCTGTCATGTTAACTGAGCACACTGCCCTCCCCGTCCCCTCACACGAACACTTGTCAGATTAAGAAGTCAAATCATGTCAAACAAAGCCTGAGCCTCCTAAGCAGTCTTTCTTTGGGTTCGCCACGAAATCTTTCCTAATTCATGACTAGCCCAAAGAGCGTTTGAAAATTACTTCAATTTAATTTCAAACCCATTTGAAATTTGTTTTCTTTCCCAGAGATCACAGCATCATTGCTAGGTGCTCATTGAAACAAAACCAAACGAACATTACTTTCACTTTAGAAGACACTTATTGTAATTGAACATTAATAGAAGTTAACATGCATTTTTTTCTTTCCTATGTGATGTGTTAACATACCCGGATTATTGAGTCTCTGTTCATCATACATCTCATATTCGTATTTCTTGAGAGTTCCTGTGATTTTTGCCAACTTGCGCGTGAACATCAGCCACAGTAAACCAAATATTACTGGAAGCTATAAGACAGGAAATACTAAGTTGAATGTCTACTAACGGGCACTTTACCTAAGTAGACACTTTTTAACGAATTCGCTTCAAAATAAAACTAAATATTAAAACCGATACTTAAGGCATATCACTTATTGCCGACTGCGTCATAACTGAGCACTCTATCTGGGACAGCCTCTCGTAAAAAAGCCAATCAACACTAAAAGAAAAATTCTCCCACCTACCTCGAGGTAAGCCCTATTCTGGCAGGCTAATCAGGCCTAATCAGGCTTGTTTTGAAAGGGAGCCGGAAGGAAATAAAATGCGGGGAGGAAGGGTATTATCGCAAGTTAGGTAAGTCCTATATGTTTAACCAACACTCACAAAGAGATACTGGATTTATGGCATGGGTACATGTTCTGTGCTTGATTAAAAAGATAATGGTTGATCTGGTTGTTTCTAGCCTAGTGATGAACATGAGTCGTTTTAACGATTATTATCGTAATTTCTGATCGATTGGAAAGTAACCGACTCGCGAATTCTTCGAATACTTAACGGGTGTTGTCGAGAACGTTACGAGATTTGCCGAACGTACTGCGTCGAGTCATACTCACGTGCAGCAGTGCTACAATCCAATAGGCCCACCGCACATGCGTATCACGGTGCATTTCCTCCTGTGTGTGGAAAATATGAGTTGAATTATCAATACCAGAAGTAGAATTGGCGTAGGGCCATTCATCGATGATAGTTGTGTAGTTCACTACCAGGACACAGCGACTCCGCAGAAAAGGTCTTGCTATCAGCGGGCTCAAGAATCCTCCAACGCCGTACGCGAAGTGAAGAGCCTGCGGGAAGTGATGGTACAATTGGTCAGCGGTAAAACAGTACAGCGACGACTCGCTTACCTTTACATAAAAATCTAAAATCCAACTTTTCCGGCATTCCTGACGTTTTTGAGCTTGCTTTGGACAGATTTCTCAAATTTATCACTAAAGGACTCCGTCTAATGAAAAAAGTTGGTCACGTGATTAAGCTGGAAGAGACTGTTCGTAATAATTCTTTTTGATTAAGAAGTTTTGATTTGGTAAAGGTCCTAAAAAAGGTTTTTGCAGAGTTCGTAGGACGACGGAGAAACTTCACCCTGTCAATGCAGGTAAAAATACTCGCGAATCACAATTTAGAATTTCTGTATGTAACGCTAATGAACAGCAGGGTGGTTCGTTGGTTAAATGGCAGGGGTCTGTCCTGAAGGAAAATACTGATGCGCCCAACAGGAAAGTCAGCGCCTTGAACTGATAATCTTCCATGACTGACCAGGTGCGCTGCTGCAAGTTGCTTACGGTAAAATGTTTTCGTCGAAGTAGGAAGTTCCTGCAATGACTATTGTAAACCAAAAGCAGAGAAGTCAACGATTGGCCGTTTTTATACCAAACACGCATTGTCCGTCTGGCCGAACTAGGGCAAACATCTTTAGTTCGTCTGGTTATGCGTCTCTAGTATCATGAAGACGGGCACAAGACGCATTATGCATTGAGACAAACTATCCTTTGAAGTGCGTCGTTCAAGACGCATTTCGAAGGATAGTTCGCCTAGGCGCATAATACATCTTGTGACCGTCTCTATACTAGAGACGCATAACCAGACGACCCACAAATGTTGCCTAAGTTCGTGCAGATGATGATGCGTCTTCAGTAAGTATAAAAACGGCGAAGACGCATTATCCCTCTGGACCGATAACGCGTCCTGTAATATAAAAACGGCCATTGTACATTTCGCCAGCGATTGGAAATAAGCTAACACGAAAGCGTGGCAACAGCATGTTTTTTAATGGGAAAACAAACTAACAACTTGTAAAAGAGACACGGTTGCAACTTAGAGGGCATAAACATATCAGAATCTTACCTGCAAATACGGTGATACCTGCAAAAGGTAAACCAAATTGTTAATTTAGAGCAAACAGCCTTCTAGCATGAGCATCAACTTATGTTAAATGTACACATCCCGCACTTTTAATCTCGGCGCATTTTTGGTGACAGTTTTCCTGTTCCCACTCCAGTATGAAATACGTCTCGTACTTTTCATGGTCTCAATCTCTTTCCCAAGGTCTCTCTTCTTCCCAGCCCTAGAGTGAGAGGGAGACAGGGAAGTGAAGAAAAGAGACCCTGGGAACGAGGTTTTAGTGGCCTTACCTGTTTGCCGTACATGCGTATTAGCTGCACTGTTGTGAACGTGTCGGTAGCGCCAAAACACCCGCCAAATATTCCCGCCAAAAACAGCATGATGATGAATATATGACTGAGTGGTATGGCAATGATGCACATGGCACTGAGGCCGAGTGCTATTGTCACCAGTACATTGGGATTAAAACTGTAGGAAAGAAAGAAAAACCGTTATACCTTATTAATTGTTTAAAAATATTCAAAAAATGTTCAAATGTTTTTGTTCCTAGTGGTGAATGTGCTTAGCTACTAGCTAGTTCACAGGCATACACTTAAACTGAAAGAAACAAATATATCAACTAAACACAATAGGCTTAAATAATCCCAACTTACGAGAGGCAGACCAGTTGGCTAATTTCAAGCCTGACCTAAATAATTTGAACTGGGGTCTACCGAGAAACAACTCCAGTTAAGTGGTCAGATCGGGACTTCAACCCGCCTCCGGATTTCAAGTCCGGCGCCCTAACCACTCGGCCACGCTGCCTGTTCGTGCCTCCTCACCCAGGCCTCAAATAGCATAGCATAGAAGTGTGGATTCAAGAAGTTACAAATTTGTTCACTGTCAGTGATAATTTCGTCGGACATCAACAAAAAGGAAAAAGGTTGCCAAGATTTTGTAAAAATTATACTGATTTTTTTTCTTTTAAAGTCGGTTTCTTTGAAAGGAAACTTACTTCTGAGTGACATTGGAGTGAGAGATTTCAAACTTTCAAAGATTTTTTGCAGTTGACAATGTTTAACTAAATAATGTGAAATGACCAAATTGTCTAATTCGACTATACGTTGATTAGCCTTATAATGTTATAGAAGACAAAAGAATGCCGAAGAAAACTTTTTACTATTTCTTCATGATCATGCATTCGTTCGGTGTTCTTTTTTATATGAAAGAAATCAAAACAGTTAGAACTTGGTTGAATTTTGAAAAAAAAATTTTTGTTTACATAGTGGGGACTGCTTACGTTTCAAACAGCATGAAGCGTTATGAATTAAAAAACGCGAAATTGTCGGTTCTTATAATGGGCTATAAAGTGCTATGTTGTCTTATGCTGAGATATTTTCTCCTATTCTCTGATATATGGCGCTACGTTGCGCTGCTTTCTGCTAGGTGTTCTTAGCTTGGGCTATAAAGTGCTGTGTTTTGTTATGCTGAGATATTTTCCCCTATTCTCTAACATGGCGCTACGTTGCGCTGTTTTCTCGTATGTGTTTTTAGCTTGGGCTATGAAGTGCTATGTTCTCTTATGCTGAGATATTTTCCCCTATTCTCTGATATATGGCGCTACGTTGCGCTGTTTTCTGCTAGGTGTTCTTAGCTTGGGCTATGAAGTGCTGTGTTGTGTTATGCTGAGATATTTCCCCCCATTCTCTGCTATGTTGCGCTACCTTGCGCTGTTTTCTCCTATGTGTTCTTAGGTTAGGCTATAAAGTGCTATGTTGTGTTATGCTGAGATATGTTCCCCTATTCTCTGATAAATGGCGCTACGTTGCGTTGTTTCTCCTATGTTTCAACAGAAAATCCTTTGTAATATTAACACCACCAGTATTTTTGATGAGGTGTCAAGTGCAACAATTAGCAATAGATGCAATTAACATTTTTGAACTACTTTGTGTTTGTACAAGGACGCACTGGTTAAGCAACACTTAGCAAGAAACATATATACTTGACAACACAATCGACATTAAGACGCTAATAAAGAATATTGTTTGTCTTTTGATTGTTTGAAGTAGATACGCGTTTTATTTTATAGCATGCAGGTCTGTCCTCGGACTGTTGCTTTTCAAGAAACATGGTATTAGATTTAAAAATTGTTTCTTTTTTTGTATCTTAAAGGCTAAAAATATTGAGGAATGGAAACTGAGTTGCTCAGCAAAAATGTTCGAGACTGATTTAAGTAAACAGAACTTTTAATAATGGTATAAAATTATCTCTTGGTTTGTTTGTCTTTGCGGTGCAAGAACGAAAAGATTAGTTTTTCCTTCTATTGTCGCTTTTGTTTCTCAGTGGCAAATTGCCCCAGAAATCGTAAATTTTTAATTAGGAGCTGGAACTTTTTTGGATGAAACTAATCAGATATCATGTTTTGGCTTCCTATTATATTAAAATTCTGAAGATTTTTATTTCAAACGTTTCATGTCTTGTACAAGACAAAAGAACTCAAAAATTCAGTTTACCGTGTTGTAGTCAGCTAAATCTTGTAATTTCTCTGATAAGCTGATACCAAAGAATAACCCTTGTACACTTTTTGGATAAGATTTTCGTGTAATGATTGTACCTTAGATATTTTATGACACAATGAAAATATTTGAAAATTAAAGTTGTTAATTATTAAAAAGTTTTGTTCACGTCTATGAAAAAAAACAGAAGTTTTCTGCCGCAAGTTTCGAAGGATAGTTCAGAATCGTAATGTAATTTAACTTGTTCGTCTTTGATGAAGCGTCCGTTAAAAATCCTTGTTGGAGTTTTCGTGACGTAATACCTTCTTAATCATGTTTCATTTTCTTGAGCCCCAAAGGCGATTTTGCACGCCACAAAATCCATTTGTTGAAGCAAATTATATCCTTCTCTATGATAAAAATTTAACAAAAATACATTGAACTACAAGACTTAGACTTGTATTTGAAGCTTGTAATGTTGAGGGTGGTATTACCATCAGGCTCGCGCAAGAAGAGTTATCATAAAACCGATATACAATTTCTTTTCGAATACCTTGACCATGCTTGACCACAAATACATAATTATGTATTTATTGCGATCCGAGAGACGGTCTGGAGTATTTGATTCGCGTACAAGAATTTCCAAGCATAAAATTAATTTTCAGAAACTATTTATCCCGACAGTCGTAGTTTTATTGCGAACTGTCACTACTTCGCTTCTATTCAGTCCAACTATGAAATTGACAATACTACCAAATTTTAATGCACTCTTTAGCCATGACAAAGTTTTTTCCTGCCAAAGCCGAATATTAGAAGTTAAAACAATTGTATGTGTACGGATATTTGACCTGCAAGATTTTCATCTCACTCTCGATACCTTCCGAAGCCAAACTTGCATGTTTTAGTAATTAAAATTTCCACTTTGTAATCCCGTGCATAACATAGTTTTAAATGAAGACTTATACGGTTTCAGCGTACTTACCGATCTACTAGGTATCCACCCGAAGTTGATCCGAAGACGTTGCACAGATCGTGAACAAAAAATAACACGCTCATTATAGTTATGGATTTTCCTGTTAAACATTTAAGCTCCAGTAAAGTGGGACCTAAAATTTCATCTGACATTCCAAACACCATGAACACACCACAGTAACACAGAGTGGACTTCAGACTGTTTCTGTCTTCACCGAGTTTTTTCACTGTGATCAGAAATCGTTTCCATAATGACAAGTCCCTGTCTTTATCAAAGGCTCGTCGTTCTACGTCCTCCATGTCAAAGAGTGGCTCCTCTTCTTCACTAGATGAATCTAAACCTACTCTCATCTTGAAACGCTTTCTTGTTAGTCGCTGTAATGTTGAAGTATTCAATCCGTGACGAGCTCGCCCTTATGGTGAAGTCCTCGTCGATTTGATTAAAACGAGTTATGAAAATACTCTTAAAGCTACCTGGAGTAAATTTTGCCCTCAAGTAAGCGAGAAAAGTTAAAATTTTTACGGCTTATCTCCGTTTTCAGTTTTAAATATCTCTTGAAACGTTCCTTTCGTCTGTGACACCTGCTTTGGCGGTCAGCGAAGAAACTTAAGTTATTTCCGTTGGTCGTTAGCGCAACACTGCGAAGCTCAGTTCTTCACGCCCAGATGTAAAACATTTTGGATTATCGTGAACTGTGATTGAAGCTTTCACTACACCTGTCGTAACTTGCGTTCGCTTTTCGTAATTTATTCAGCGCGGTTTTGAAAGAACTATCTGATTTAATCGCTACAGTGACAACCAATCAACTCAAAACTTGTGTGACAAAGGCTTATTTATGTTTAACGTGGGTTGTTAAAAGAAAATACTGAAAAAGTATCGACATGTTCAAAATTAAATCATGTGAACCATACCAAGTTTTATCAGTTGAAATTGCTATGCACTTGAATTTTTACTCTACTATTAAATGGCATATTTTTTTAGTTCTTATTTTAAAAGGTTATCTTTTGTGGTCTGCTTTGATTTATTAACAAAATTTGACTTAAGTGTCATGAAATTGCAGACGTTTACGTATACGTATTTTTATTTTATCACAAAAAGTGATTTTTTAAAATTCTTCCGACCATTGGCTCAAAAATCACCCTCATTTTATGTCACCCGAGGTGATCAACAACAATATCACTCAGCGCGTTGTCTCGGAAGTTTTTGTTACCTTTTAAAATAAATTAATTCAAATACTTAACGCGGTTCTATTTTTTCATGTAGACTTAATTTATAAAGTTAGTGAATTGTTAATAGAAGCACACCTCACAATTTAGCGGTTCCTGATGCACAAAACCAAATTTTTATTCACTAGAGGACGTTTATAAACCTTGAATATATAACTTGGCAAGTAAGTTAGAAAGTGTCAGTGGTCACCTTGAAGGCAACAAAATCATTTATTATTATTATATTGCTAAACGTTCGGTGTGTTTAGAAATATCTTGTTAAGCCTCATGCCACAAAAATCGCCAATTCGAGTTAATCTTCCTTTCAAAACATCGCTAAAATTGAAGATGATTTAAGAGAAGTAACCCTTTTTATAGATTCGGAAAACAAAACCGACGGTGAAGTCCGTGGCTGATGTCACGTTTTTTGAGTCTCCAATATTCAAAACTTCCGTTTACACTTCCATGGCTACAAATGTAAATTCTGTTTTCTAACCGTTATGCTCAACAGACCATGATAATTTTATTGCATTATAATGTTGTTATGCTAATTCCGCATGCTCGGACATTTAGAACAAGTTACTAAGCTTTCACTACTAAAAATGAAAAGGTTAAAAACTGGAAGATAATCCCACTGGAATTATTACTGGTGAAAATTGTTGTTTAGTAATTTTCTTTGAATTTTTGTACTCTAGATAAGGTTATATTCAAAACCAAAGGACCTGAATGAACCAACTTCACAGACAGTAACCACATGAAAGAACTGATCAATAGCTCTCTTATAAATGGTCACCCATTAGTGTTTTATTCACATACTGAAAACTTAGAACCATTTTTAACTGAATTGACAGTTTACTCTAGGAGTAAAAAGAGTTAACGCAGGTCTCATTGAGATGCTGACTTACATGTAACCGAAAAATCCTGATCTTAATCAGTTAATAGGTTAAATACGAAACTAACTTCTGAACAATTCGGCCGTAACTTTTGGCGTATGGGAGTGGAAAGGGAATCAGCTGACCTCCATAGCTAACATATAACATGGTAAATGTTGAAGGTCTCAGAAATCGTGCAAAAAAGACTAAGGAAAGTTAAAAACCTCGGGTAAAAACAAGCAAAAATAGCCGAGAGTTGAGACGTGATGTTACATAGAATAATCACGTCGTAATAAGGAAGTCAAATATCTGTTGAATAAATTTGGGTCAGTCCATCCCTTTCGCACGATCACTAGTTAAAATAAAAACTCCAAGATAATCCATTTTTGGCTTTTTCAGAAGTAAGGAAGTATTTTTTGCTCTTCCTTGAAATAGCCAACACGGAAGAGTTTATTGTATCAGAACATAAGTGACAGGCTACTTATTACTGAAGTAGTTTTCCATTATTCGCATGATAAATACTCAATAGCAACAACAGATGTAGATGGCATGTGTCACAATGGCTTCACGCGCCCACTACAAGCCGAAGTCCAGCTATGACTTATTGCATGACAACAACCCAATGATTTCTTTCTAAAGTCGTCCGTGGTTTTCCGTATTAACCTCTAAATGCGTCGACAAGCAGACGTAATGTGCGACTCTAAAGGTGAGTGAAGTCCAATATCCCTTCATTAAACGATACTTGTCAATCTTAAGAGTGTTACAACAATAGATTCTTGAAAACCTTTCAATCCCACGTTTAACATATAAATTATGCTTATTACTATGTACATACGTTTTCATTGTTAGCTCTGAGAATTTTATCGTTTATCAATTCCTAATAATGATCAATGATTTGTTTCAACCTCTTGTTATGCCTGCTTGACTACATTTCGCTGTTTTGTCGTAAAATTTGATGTTCACCTCATTTGTTTTAAGACCATTAATGCCGACCCATTCGTGGCTAACAATCACTTTTAATTTTCCTGAAAAAATTTTACGACAATAATTTTTACACCTTCATAGTGCAAAGTGCAAATGAAACTATGGTTACCTCAGGCTTGGACAGTAAACTGGAATAAATATCAGCTATTTTTGTTAGCTTACAACTGATCTCAGGAGAAACCGAAAATTAATCTCGGCGTGCTGAGTCATTAGGAAATTAAAAATCGGTTCATTAAGAATTCAATTTGATATCACTGAGTCAGTCTGAGTTAAAGAGGTAAAATAAAGCAATAGAATGCCACTTCAACAGTTATTTATGAGCCTTGTGAGTACTCAAAATCGCGTTTAAATAGACTGGAAGTAGACTATTGTTTGTGTCGTGTCATCGTGATTATAGTCGACCAATCAATTGATTTAACGTTGATGTCTACGTGCCGCTAATAATAGCTTCAGCAAATAAGGAAATGTTGGGATAGGACTACGTCCTGTAAATCACAGAGCATCATACCTTACCAAAACAACACAAAAGTGCGGCTTTCGCACATCACAAAAATATTCCTTCGCTTGTCGTTGAATAAATTGTTCCTACAGCTACCGCAAATCACAAACTTCCGGCTTTTCTCGGTTAATCACGTGATCAAAGACGGAAGTACGCCGAAGATAACAGACGTGCACTCTTCGGCGAGTTGCCGGTTTAGTAGTTTCGCCTCTAATGAAACCTGTGCGATTTAGAGATCAAACGGTAAGTAGATCGCATTTATACAGTTCTGCGAATTTCTTGCTGCACAAATAACCTGATGCAGTTATTAGTAAAAGGGAATGCTGATCGAATGGGTTATCGTTATATTTGATTCTTGTCACGACATGTAAATCATATTATGCCGTGATTGCAAATTATTTCCCGAGAATAGACTTCAGACATTTTAAAGTGAAACAAGTCGCCCCATCATCAGCTCCACGGGTTTCGAATCCGAGGAATTGGCGCTCTAGGGAAATTCCTGAACATCAATGGTAAAACTCTTCAATTCGGTACAGTTCAATTTTCTACTGCTTGCATAACAATAACCTTATGTTATCAAATACATAAAAATAGATTAACAATGACTCGATATCCCTCAGTAATGAGATGATTCCTCAGCCCTTTTATTCATTTTCTGAGGGTTGAAGAATGAACTTATTTTTCAAGAGTTCGACACGCTCAGATAAAAGCACAGTTTAAGAGAAATGCTAAATTATATTCTAAATTTTGTCACGTTGTCTGCAGTTCTGACGGGAGCCTAAGAGGTCACTTTGTATAATAATGACCTCCATGTGATCTTCTTCTTAGAAAAGCAAAATGAAAGAACTGACTATTAGAACCCGCATGGCCATAATTTGTAATGAGCATTACCCTAGAACAAATCGCATCGTAAAATACAAATATCGTTTTTATTATATAATAAATTTCTTTCGTGCTGCTATTTATTTTGAATAGGAACATTTTTTTTCTTACTTTTCTTCTGCGCACATCCGGTATAATATAAAGTGTAGCTCTTTTGTAAAACTTACTTTATAGAAGAGCCGTCCCACTTGAGTTTAATAAATACAAGAGTTAAAATTGTAGTTGAATTTTAAGTAGTGAATTTTATTTTCTTCCACGATCAATGCGCCTAATCTGAGTGTGGTAGGAACGTTTATAGACGAAGACAGGAGCTTAAAGCTGACATGGACCATCATTTCATTTAATGACGACTAAAGGTGAAATCGCGATGGGAATATAAGAGAGAAAGGGAGAGCAAAATTACGGGCTTCTGATATTCGAAGGTCTCGACTGTATTTGACCGCAGCTTGGAGAGTTGAGGAGTCACTAATAATTTAAGTAATGTGAAAGCCAGAATGTGTTCCGGAAAAACGTAACATGTTCGCTTCTTACGTCTCAGTCGTAAGTGTTACATGTAGCATTTTAACCCCTGCCGGAAATTCTAATCTTAAAAATCAATATTACTCACTGACTGCATAGGCTTATGTCTTTGAATCAATGCTAGAAGGTCTGTGAATTACATGTAGATCACCCGCTGGAACCCTTTAAATAGACTGGGTACGACTTTAACAAATTCACATCAAAGGGTGCGTTCCTTTGGGGTGATCTGGATCAGGATCAGGGATCCAAGATCACTCGGATCATGATGCATCAAAGGAACCACTGAATCCGTGACCAGAGTGGGTTTGTCGGTTCCTTTAATGCACCATGATCGGTGTGATCTTGGATCACTAATCCTGATCCAGATCACACCAAAGGAACGCACCCAAAGTTTGGGACCTTGCTTGCGCTCGGTTAAACTCTTGTGATTCACGGATGAGTAAAGGTGTGACGGTATTACTCGGCGAGTTTCCCGATTCTTGGATATGACTAGTTTGATGGATAGGGAGGGCCTGTAATTGCCACGAGGAGGGAGGGCTGGTTCCCCGCACTCTAGCTCTAAGCTTATAGAAAAGGGTTATCGAGCCAAGAACTGAAAAGTTCCAGTCAGAAGGTGTTTAAAATCTGGGTCTTCCACCTTCTGGTAGTACCCTCAAATAATACTGGATAATACTGACTCTTTGTGAACTTTGGAGAAGTATGGAGGGCACGGTCACAGCCCATTTAATAAAGACGCATGGATTTGACTGACTACATTTTTGCCTATAGAACAAAGCGTCGACAAACATAATAAGCTCACATTAAATTGAAAGTAGTTTTTCTTGTCTTAAATCAAATTTGCGCATATGGACCCAGTTTCTGTTAAAATTGGCTGTAAAAGGAAATTTGAAGTTAAATTTGATAATTATAAACTGCCCTGTGTCCTACGTTTCTTGGCCAATATGTTAACGCTTGCGAACTCGTCACTAATTTCAGTCGCTGATAGTCAAGAAATTATACTATTGTGTAATTAATTCCTACGGCTATCAGAGAGACTCACTGCGCATGAGCAAGAGGGAGTATGCGCGGAAAACCTGAGGGAACCACTCGATTGTGTTCCAATGACGCGTTGAAGATGCAGCGTATTCTATCTCTCCAGCTTTACGCACAGTTCTATTACTTTTTTACTCCTCTTTTCACTGTGCGGTTGTATAAAACAGTCTATAACATAACTATATATCATCTGAATTTTCACACTCTGTTGCTTACACCGAAAAACGAACATACAACGACGAACTGCATCGACAACGAACTAATGGCCTTGAACTTGATGAGTCCGAGCCGATCTTTTATTAGCTGGAGGGAGTGAAAACAAAATTATGAACTGAAGCTTAGTTGAGGAAACAGCAGAAGATTTCGCAAGTAACGTGTTTGTTGCAACGTGCTATCAGTTAACAAAGGAGTAGGAAAGGGTGGAGAATAATGTAAGCAGAAGAAATGGGGATATGCAAAATCCTTCAACAAAATAAAATCATTTTTATTCAGAACTTTCAGCACCTACTAATGTTCGATTAATTAACTTTGTTCAGATGCCTTTTTTAACCGGAAAATCAGGAAATTTGTGGAACGTTTTGGAAAAAAAAAAAATAGAAAAACCCCGGAAGTGAATGTTCTTCACTAGTTTAGCTGACCAGCTGATAAGAAAAGCGTCATCCTTTTTGCCTTTTTTTTTCAAGGTTTTCCTATAATTTCCTCGTTATTTCACAAAATTGAGAGCAATGATAGCAGTAAAGAACGTAACTCATACAAGTACTGTTGAAGAGGAACGAAACGTCGATGTTCAAATATCAGAAACCCGGAAATCAGTTTGCGTTCTCGGTTATCACATCAACTCGGAAATGTATGGCGTACTATGAGTAAGTGGCATGGTGAGGGCGAAAAGGAGGAACTGCCATCGTCTTGCAGGTGTTTTCTGAATAAATTTACAAATTTTGTCTTTTTTTAGCGAAGGAATACATAAGGAAATGAAACTGTATGTCTGAATAAGTAGTACTACGTGTTGTTCCATTCAGGTCATCGCTTACATGAGGTCAATATAAGACAGAAAGTGATCATTATAGCTTCGAGCAAAGGAGGAAGTCGTCATTTTGTTTGTAACCGCGTGAAACAGACAGAAAACATTTAGTTCGTTTATCCCTGTGTTCAGGTTTACACGTCAAAAAAGGCTCTCTTCAGGTAAAGTTATTCGGAGGACAAATTTCTGGTAAGCAACAATGCATTTGCAGTCTACTTCCTGCTTGAAGAAAGTTGACTCTAGTTTGTTCGCATGTACTATTTTGTTTATAAGAAAGCTTCGTCTTAAATCAGTATTTATGTGTTTAAGTTAACACAGCGTAGAGAAATCTGATAATTATTCTAGTTAACATAATTTCAAGCCTCCTTCGCCTTGGTACGCTACAAGAAATGTAGGTTTTGCTTCCCCCTTTTTTTCAGGCTACTTCAGTTCCGAAGGCGTTGTTTCATTCTGGAGTAGATTTTGTTAAAAGATACTCGGACATCCGACAAATCAACTGAACTATCCACACGATATCGTCTGTACTTTTTTGACGATCGCAAAATTGTACGATTTTTCCACTACGAAAGGTAAAGTTCTTAAAGAAACTCTACGCAGTGTGACAATTTGTCTGCCTTGCCTGATAGCTATAGATTTCCAGCCAAGCGGTCCTTTTTGTCATATTCACTCCGCAGTGAACACACTTCAACAAATACTTTAAACTGATTTGTAGATTATCTGATAACAATTATGTACAAAAGCTTTTTATTTTCATGAAGAATATGTGAAGTACACAGATGTTAGTATGGCAGAGTGATTCTATCCAATACATTCGTTGTCGCAATGAAATTAGCTTTGCGAAACTGAGTACTGCAGAGCACAACTAAAGATCTGTTAACAGTAGATCATCAATAAAGGATCTTTAGAACTAATGAATATTAAGAATCGATGCCTTCTAACAGAGCCTCAGCAAGCCAAAAATAAATAAAATTGTACTGTCGTAAATATCCTTCATTAATTACGAAAACAACTCATAGTCGATCAATGCAACCGGCCGTCTTCCACGTTGGACTATTTCCTCCAAATCAGCCCAAAGGTGTCCGGCCTTTATCAAAATCTGATCACGTAATTTTGGACAAGATACTTCACGCCGAATATTTCCACTTCCAAATGATCTTGACGAAAACAAGCACATCAGTTTGAGCATAATGTCCGGCAGAGCAAGTCAGCAGAAAAGGAAGTACCTTTTTTGACGCCATTTATTTTTTCTTACGGATCAGTGAGAAATTTGTTCGAACCTGAAAATTTGTCGTCAGAAACTTCCTCAGCATGGCGTAATCTGGTAGTAACTTCGTATTCGTACAGCAAACAAAAACAATTAAGTAAATTGAACAGAAGATTGCCGTACATGAATACGAAGAGTGATATTTAGTGATTTAAAACCCGAAAAGAAGAATTAGTGAGGCACAACCTGAGGATATTTAGGCTTCGATCAATAGAAAGTACTGCATTCCAATTACATTAAGTTGTTCTGATTCTACGTTTTTTTCAAAATATTAAGTCTTTACCGATTAAGAAAGGTTTGTCGAGAAGCCTTCAGTTTAAAGATCTGTGTTGAAAGATTCTCTTCGCCGTTGCTTCAGTCCTCTCGAAAACCATGTAATATTCTCAGATTAGATCGAAATGTCTTTTCTCGTCCGTTAGAAACTGAAGAAAAAAGACCAATCAAGGAGATTAATATTTAATATGAGGTGCTGGACTAGCGTTGTCACTTTTTATTGTGTAGCGTACAAAGCTTGCTTAAAATACGACTCTGGTGCGCACAACTTCATTTATTAGGACGGTACTTGGGTGTTAAAATATATTTATCCTCAAAGCGTAAATTCGACTCAAGACGAAAACCAAATAAATCGCAAAAAAAAAAAATTGAATTGATGAAACAATTGCACAAGCATAAAAATAACGGAATCAAGCAGAAAAAATTTAATAAATTTATTACAACGCCTTACCGTGCATGCCTTGGTACACCATCCGGTTGGAGTATTCACCGATACCTTCCGCACCGCGTACGTATCCTCAAAAATTAGAAAGAAAAAGTTCATTTTGACGGCTCTTCCAGAACTAATAGCGTCCACATTTTATAGTGTTGAGGCCTTCACAACAAGTCATGTTTTTTAATCGTAATGCATCTTGAAGTAGACATCTATTTCCTTTCCTTCGAAGGAAAATACCAACCTTACGGTCTTGAAAAGAAGTTCGTCATGTTTGATCAATGCCGTGTGAGCTAATGAGCCTGTTGTCTTGGTAACCAAGTGAAATTAATACCCATTATCGCACTCGATTCACTCGTGTTCAAGTTGTGTCTGTTGAACTAGATTCTGGTCTTCGTATGTTTCTGTTGTCCGAATTATTCCATCTGGTGATGTTTGATTTTGTTCTTCACCCACCTAGTTTATTTTTTCATTGAGGGTTCCATTTCATCTATGATAAGCTGGCTGATGTAAGTGTTTGGTTTTCATGTTATTTTTTTTCACTGAGGATTGTCTTTTATGGTATCTCTGGTGATCTTATTTCTTGCTCTCAAGCTTTTTTCTTTCGTTGAGAGCTTTCATTTTATGGTCTGCCCTGTGATTTTAGTATTGCATTTAAGTATTGCATTTAACCTCTTTCTTTTACTGTGATTTTAGCTTCTGGTCTTCATTTCTTCCTTTCACTGAAGATTTCTTTACATGACCTGCTTGGCACTGTTAGGTCCTTCCTGGACGGTTCCTTTGTTTCGTTTCCCCTGAGAGTGCCATTCTGCGGTCTGCCGAAAGCCACATCTCGGTTGTCACTCTGTCTTTTGCATTTAACCTCCCATTTGTTTGCTTGTACGATGACCGAGGGTCTTGGTAGTATCTGTTCCTATTTTTAGGAGTATTTGTGGGTGTATGTTTCTTTTATTTCAATTTGTGGTCTGCCTAATAGTGGTTGTAAGTGTTAGTTTTAATCTTATCTGCTTCATTTGTTGGAAACTCCATTTCATGGTCTGCCTGGTGACATTGGTTTTTGGCTTGCATCTGTTTCTGGTCTGGCTGGACATGATAATGCTTCACTGGTACTCCTCATCTCTTTCTCACTCATAAGAATTCCTTGTCATCGTCTGCGTGAAGATGTTAGTGCCTTGTTTGTCTAAATCTGCTATTTTAGTATTTTTCTCAGTAAGGATTACTTTGCGTGGTCTACCTGGAGACAATAGTGCCTGGTTCTCAAGGATTCCATCACGTAGCCTGCCTGGAGATTGTCAATGCTTGCTCCTAATCTGTTTCCTTTAGGTGAGGATTCCATTTAATGGTCTCCGTGGCGATTATAGTGCCTGATCCTCAAGGATTCCATCTGGATCTGCCTGGAGAATCTTAATGCCTGTGCTCCATTTGGTTCCTTTTAGTGAAGATTCCACTTCATGGTCTGCCTGGAGATATTATTGCCTGGTCTACATCTTTTTCTTTTTAGTATTTGTTTTCAGTAAGGATACCTTTTGATGGTCTACTAGAGAGTGCCTGGTCCTCAAGGATTCCATTTCGTAGCCTGCTTGGAGACTTTTAATGATATGCTTACTGCTCATCTGATCCTGTTAGTGAGGATTCCATTCAATAGTCTGCCTGGAGATATTAGTGCCTTGTCAGCGTTTCATCAGTTTAGTATTTTTTTCAGTAAGGATTCCTTTTTATGGTCTGCCTGGGGATTGTAGTGCCTGATCCTCAAGGATGCCATTTTGTGGCCTGTTTGGAGACTTTTAGTGCTTGCTGCTCATCTGTTTCCTTTTAGCTGGATTGTTGATGGCCTTCATCAGTTGCCTGGAGATGTTAGTTCTTGGTCTCAAACTAAAGTTTAAATGCATTCCATGACCTTGTAATGAGGAATTCATTTTAAGGCTGTCTTGGTGATACAGCTAATAGTTTCATTTCATGGTTTGCCTGACAATGTTAGACCTCGGTCTTCTCTGGTTCTTTTTGGTAAGGATTCCATTTTGTGGCCTGGATGGCAAGTTTAGTTGAGGCCTCCTTTGCAGTGCTGCCTAAAACATCGTGCTTTGTTTCTGGTCTTTATTGGTTGTCTTTTTTCCCAGAGAGTATCAGTCAGTAACCTGTGTGGTGGTGTGAATCTATGCTTTCTTTCCTTTATTTCTGTCGTCGAAGATTCCATTTTATGGCCTGCCTGGCGGTGTTAATTCCTTGCCTTCATCTATTTGTTTATTTCAGAATTCTTCTAGAAGGGCTGCCTTATTTTGCAGTTTTTTTTCATTTAAGGCTTTCACTGGCATTCATAACCTGCTTGGTAGTAATGATCTTCATTAGTGACTGTGGTTGTGTTGTCGACGTGGTGATACATTTCCTGAAATGTTTTCTTAATGAGGATTGCATTTCATGAGCCTGCCTTTTAATCTTTGTTCTTGGTGTTTATGTGCTCCCTCTTTTATTAAGACCTGCTTGGTGACATAGTTTTTGAAATCTTTGTTAAAGGTTTCATTTCATGGTCTGCCTTTGATCTTAGCTCTTGGTCCTCATGGGCTTCTTCTTTCATTGAACCCTCCTAGGCGATGCCGTTCTCGAAATGTTTATGACGTGTTTCGTATATTGAAGTTTTCATTTCATGGTCTGGCTGGGGTTGTTGGCTCTTTTCATTCTCAGATTATCAGCCTACGTTCTGACCTAACCTGACTGATTTTGAGTAGCTTTCTTTGGGCAAAGGACGAGATTTTTAGGTCTGTAACGTCCTGTTTTTGGCTCTTTTACGTCCTATGTTCTTCTCCAAGAAATCAGGACTGATTAAAATAACAACAAACCTTCGTTAAACGATTCGCTTGCAGAAAAAAAATAAAAATTATAAATTCAGCATGGTAATATTTTTGGTGCCATCAATATTAATTTGGTGCCATCATTATTGATGTATTTTCATTAGTGATTACCCTCAGCTATTCTTAAATTTTGTTCGTAACTACAGTTGGCGACAAGAAAGAAACCTTAATTTAAGTTTTGGTTTTGTTGTCACCAAAAATAGGTGGAACCCTTAACCTCTAGTTCGTAAGAGGGATAACTACTTGTTTCTCCTTTCAATTTCCACACACGTTGGTAAAACAGACACGTGGAGAGTGATGAAATGTTTGGTAGGGAATATTGTTTTGGTGAGCCGTCAAATTTTCAGAACTAACATCAAAGTTTACGTCAGTGGTAAAAAGCAAGAGTTACATCTCTATAAACAAGACCTAATTTAATCATGGCACTAAATACAACGGTGTCGACTTCCGTTTTTATCATGGCTACTGGTGTAAAATTTGTATATTTAACTATATTCTTATAATCCTGATCTTCTTCTTCTTAAAAAAAAAATACTTTATTGTTCACATCTTCTTTCACTTTCGAATAACACCTCCATACAGAGGTGTACGTGAACACAGGCATATAAAAATAAACACAAAACACCATATAAGCAGATTTCTTTTTCTTTGTTTTCCGGCTCGTAACGTTTTGATATCAAGTTCTCAGTCTCAGCTAAACCGTTTCGTTCTTTCTGGCAATCACAGATATTTAGGGGAACATAATTAAGTATCAAGCCCGACAGGCATTAAACCTAAGTTAAACGAGCTGCGGGTGAATTTAACTGTGCTAGTTCGCTTGGACCTCGCTCTGTGCCTTTATACATCGATCGCACAACTATTCAGTGTATTGTTTCTTACACAGGAAGTAAGTTATCACACTACCGTAGGTAGGTCTGATCTCGAGAGTGAAGAATTAATCGTTGAAATTTCTACTCCGAACGTATTTCAAATTCGCCCTTTCTGCTGTGGTAACTTGGTTTTAACTCTGGACCAAAGCTAAACTCGATCATAATCGATGAATAATTTCGAGGGTACTTGGTTTAGCATCAAGGCAAGCCAAGATATGCAAGATTCAAAACATCATTTTATTTTTTGCTAAGGAACGTTCTTCCTGAACACTACAATACGATATTAACTTAGATTTAACTTGCATGTCAATTCAAGGCGATGAACCTACTGTTAATAGCACCTAAACTGATATATTTTTTCATAGACGCAATTGTAGAGCAGTAGTGTAATGATGGATTCAGTCATGATCTATTTATTCTATTTTGCTAATTGATTATATCATCTCCTGAAGAAAATTCATTCAACAAAGCCTATTCACATTAGCCTTATAGTTAAGGCTTGAAGCACTTGCCTTTAACAGTGTTGCATTAAGCTTGCTTATATAATTTTCCTATCGCTCGTTCAATCTTTGTCTAGTTGCTCTCATCAAAGGTTTTCTCTCTCCAGTGGTTAGCTTCTCGGTGCCTTTTTTTCTTATATCGAATCTGATAACTATTATGATTTCTTTCCTATTATTCTCATCGTCAATTCTTTTTAAAACGTTTGATTTGTCTCATTTTGTTTTTGCTGAGACACTGTTTCTCTTCAACTACTCCGTTTCAATGCCAGACGTTTGGTTAAGCTTCGTAACCATCAAAGACGATACTGATTGGCCAGTACAACACCTATTGTCTTCCACAACAAAAGATGCCTTGGCATCCGCTTAAAAACGAAAACGAACCAGGAGTTTTTGTCATCAAGGGAGGTTTTACAGTTTGGGAAATTTGCTCCACCCCCAACCAGGGGCAGAAGAGGCTTCCCTTGGTCTGGCCTCTCCTCGTTGACCAATCCAGCTAATCATGGTTAAACGTGTACAAGACTAACAACTTTGGATTTCTTAAAAGAAATGTAAACTTGCCGATAAGTATGAGCGCCTAGGGTGAAGAGACGTAATATAATGTTACATTTCTTAGGTCCAGTTCAGACGTCGTGCTTCTGTCGTGCCGAACTAAATTGCAATTAGGCTTGACTGTAGCAGGGCAGGAAAACAACTCTGATTCAGACGTCGTGCCAGAGTCGAACCAAATTCAGGATACACTGGTGCCTCGTAGCAATTCTCCTCCTAACTCCCCGTGGGAACGCAATCTCGCCTAAATACATTAATATAATTTATGAATTTTGTTTAACGCGGCAGAAGCACGACATTTGAATCACTGCCGTGCCAGAGTCGTGTAGCACGGCAGAGCTTGTCGAACTTAATTGCTTGCCGAACTTAATTCAAAAGTTTGATTCAGACGCCGTGCTTCTGCTGTGCTTTTGTCGAACTTAATTCCTGAATTTAGTTCGGCACGACAAAAGCACGACGTCTGAACTGGGCCTTAGTGTTTTTTCAGATCAATTTATCGAATCCACAAAGACCATGCACGAAGGAGGAAATTAAAGAGGGTGTACTCATGGGTGGGACGAGAAAAGAATTGACTGCAGTCTAATGCTTTTAATTTTTCAAATATCAAGTGACCTGGAAATGTTTATTCAAGTTCCTCTCTTTCTCAAAGTCCGACTACAACTATTTGGATCGGGTAGCAGCTCTCGCATGGTGTCACATGAATGGCTCGATACCCTTTGAGAAGACAATAGAACAAACAACAGAACCATTGCCCCCTGACCCCAAAACAATGACAGCTGCTACACTATGACAACAAATAGAATTACAAGCTTACGAGAGCTGTTACACTTCTGAACGATCTTCCTATTCTCAGATTGAGTCGAGGCACGGCTTGCCTGCTTTTTTTTTGTTACAAATCCTTGTAGTTTCCACGCGACAGAAAGCAACTCTATGTCGCACCAAGTGTTTTGATAAGGATGACTAAAGATGATTTGTTGATGTCCCGGTCAATAATTCACTTCATAGACTTCTTGCCCGTCATTTTTTATCAGCTATAAGTAACGAGTTCCTGATTTCTGTCATTTATAAACTGCCGTGCTATAACATTGAACCATTATGACTCCATTTCCTGTAATCAAAGTAAAACTATGCTTTCTGAACACTACTTGCTAAGAATAGAAGTCATCGCTGAATGCGTTTCATGCATACCAGTGATTTCGAAGCGTCCAGCGGCATTTCCGTTGGTTTGCTATTTCCCCATGGGTTATCATCCAGTTTCCACAAGTTATTTGAAAACAAAACTGGAGTGCGACAAGAAATCCAACTGCGGAGCTGTGAATGACAAATTTGTTAAATGCTGGACTCTTGGGTTAGAACTTGGCCGTGTGTGCCCCCGCATTTGACAAACTGCGACGCAGTGAAGTAGTACGTGGGTGAAAGAAATAGCCCTCTTAGATAATTTGACCTTCTTAATGGAAGGAAATTCAGTAAAAGCAAAACAATAATTTTCTTTTTTCTCAGCCAATATTTTTAGAGTCACACTGTATTGCAGTCCTGCCCAAGCTCCGCAAAGAAACAAAACGATCTTCTATCCACGCTTGACGAAGAATTCTGTGTTGGAAATTTTACAACAGAACGCTTGTTTCTTATGGCTTTAAACGGAGGTAGGTTATATATAAAGCTGCGTAGGATATGCAAAAATCTGTTTTAGCTGGAGTAGGTAAAAACAGAATATAGCTCTCTCTATTTTGTCTAAGCCTACATAAAAGGGTGGATGGTCAAACCGATAAGCTCGATTATTTCATGATTCAAGGTTTTCACAAACACACAAAAAAAATCAACAGAGTTGTACTGTTTTATTGTTGTACACTGGTACGTTGCCACTCGACTTTTAAATACAAATCAGTTCATAAATGTCTTCTTTCACATATATTCCATATTTACGATCCAGTGTACACTCCTATTAAAAAAAAAGCTGGGTTTTCCTCACGTAATAGAGAAAGAGCGAGCATATACTCATTCTTGCTGGGAATTACTTTAGACTCGATTAGACTTCGAAAGCCGAGCTCAGAAAGCGAAAAATGACTGGAACGCTCAAAACTAGAGTACCAAGAACGTGGTTTTAAGGAGCGCAAGCTTGACCTTCCCGCTAAGACAGTCCTACCACCACGAAGGACTTTGAGAAAGTTTAGGGATTGTAGACGTGTAAGAGCAAGAAGAACGATAGATTTTGTCAAGGGTACCGAAAAGATCGTTTGTGTAAAATATTTGTTCAAAAGGCTGTTATTCTCCTCCGGCCAGTTCTTTTAAAGAATTTTCGCTTTGAAAATCCTGATATAGAAAACATGATGGCTGTCATTTTCGGAGAGATGAAATTGCCGTTTTGCGTGCGGTAAAAAAGGTCACCTACGATTTTCCGAAACGCAACAGCTGCTCGAAAATTTTGATAATATGTTCCCTTAAAATGTCTACTATTTTGATATTCAGCTATAAAAACGGAATAATTTGATATAAAACACCTACGATCAGAGAAGACGTGGGAAGATAAAATGGACTTCGCCGCGATCGTACTAGTATTATATTCTTGGCTTAGATCTTTCTATGTTGACATCGTCATGGATAAACAATGGAGTGGTATCAAATGTTCCTGCAGGAAATTAAAGCCAGCACACCTGCTTATTAAATGTCTTTGACGAGTATTTTAATGGCCGGACTTTACTGATGACACTGGAATCACGACGCTTTCCGTTTCTATTTTTGTTTGTCTTTTTGTTTGGCGTGGATCTGTCATGTCGAGAACTGTTTAACCATCTCACCGCCTGGCGCACGTTTGTCTCTCCTGACAACAACATCAGAATATCATGGAAACTTTGGCGCAAAAACATTGTTCTTTTTTACTCAAATGATAATAATTCTTGCAGTAATGGTTAATGAAATTGAAAAGCTATAAAGGTTCTTTCTTATAATTCTTAACTTCTGTAAATTGGTTACTCGTAGTTGACAGAAAAAGGAAAAAGAAACTGAAAGGAAAAAATTTACCCGCGGGTTATACTGAGTGCGCACTCGCAAGACTGTTCATCATTTTCCCGGAAGATTTTAGGCATAAATAACCGCTCAGTGACGTCATTCTGAATAAGACATTGAAAACACATCACGTTTCAAACAGACAAACGCGGTGTTTTTCTACGTTCATTACTGTGGCTTTTTAACGCTGGATTAACTAATGTTGATACAAACAGAACAAAAACAAACTTAGGTGAAATAACTATTGTATAAAGTGTCTATATCAACAGAGCTCAGCCGCCGGACAGAAATAGTGCTTTTGCCGCTTCGTTTTAAAAATGCGCAGAAAAAAAATACTCCGCAGGTAAATTTACGACGTTGTCAGGAAGCTAACTCGGACATGTCAATCGTGTTTTTCCTTTATTCATCACTGACAGATGCATGTGTGCGTGGGGGAAGTAAGTGAGCTCTTGATATTTTTGTTTAATTTCCTTTTAAGCCGCTTGCTACCGGTCATTTTCGTTAATGTTGTTTCCTCTCCATATCAATTTAAAGCGGGTTTATCGCTCCGTAGATGTTTGAGTGCTTTCTGATCTGAATTTCTTTTAACGAAAACCGTTTAGTACATAAACTACAGAAGCACAGTTTCAATGGAGGCGAATATGGCGTCCACATTAGGAAGAATTCCTTCAGGTGATTATTGCACAGAAAACTTTGAACGTTTTGAATTAGCATTCATTTTAAGGAATAATCATACGATACGAAAATGTTTAACAATCGCTTGATCTCAACAGTCCACCGTCGCCGATACTAAAATCTGTTGACTTTTTTCCTTCAACAAATAGTTTCTTACTACGGTTTTATAAGCATATGTCTACTATTTTATGCTATGGGTGCACGAGAAAGGAGAAGGTTATTCCTAATTTTTAGATCTTTAATCTTTAAATTATTCAAGTTAAAGATTAAACATTGCCTTTTTAGCGCTATGATTGTAGTACAACCGCTGGACATCTCCGCAGTGCTATCAGGATTTCGAAACTGCCTCTCATTTCATTTTCTCACTTTTATTGTGCTGGAATATTCACATTATAAGCTTCACCTCTACGCGCTTTCTGGGATGCCGTATTTGAAGTTAAAGTGGATTTCCACTGTCGCGTAATGTAAAATACGTAAATTTAAATGCGAAAAAAAGTTTTGCAATTGAAGTTTACTTTTGCGAAAAATTGAAAGTGGTTTTATTCTTTTAGTAAGCGCAGGCCGTTCACATCCTGTCCATGTTTATTTTAAGCGGAGTGGATTTAACACGCACGTAAAATTACTGAACAGCGGTATCTACCTTAATAAATATCCGAACAAAATCACAGAGGTGAAAGTCAAGTTATTTCTGAGTCAGTTTCCGCAGGAAAACCGACGGAACTTGTTTTAAGGAATTAGAAAATTTCTTAACTCGTCGATCCTCGGTTTAGATATACAAAACACTGTGTATAGTTAGTACGTGACTCATGTTAAAAAGGATCTATTTTAAACTCTCTTACTGTCATACTAATCTGAAGTAATGTTTAAATACACGTAGAGGGGATACTTGTGCATGCAAATGCGTCATACATCTTAAGGGTCGATTTAGAAGGTGTGATCAGTTGTGCGATTTTTACACGCGACCTGATTATTACACGACTTGGGTACCATAACAAGTCGCGAGTGTTATCATAAGCAAGTTGCGTAGGAAACCCCGAATTTACCTTTAAAGAAGCTACGTCACTCTTTGTGTATCATGAAAAGTTTAGCCTAAATTTTTCAAGTTCTACGTTTGTAATCCGTGTTAATTTTCTCTATCCTTGACCATCCTTGTTCCTACATGGTTTATTATTATCTCTTTGGTGTTTTTCTATCTCAGTAAAATACTATTTCACGTTTCATTCAATTTAAAGGTGATTTTGCACGTGGCCAAAATGCAATGACTAAGCTCCTCTAGGTTGAGGGGAGTTTTGAAACCTTGTTTTTCGACTGTAAACCGTAAATTAAGTTTACGTCGCGCATCTTTTTTGGCGGGCATTTTGAACTGTAACACACACATGCTCTGCGGTCATGTTCTCGTCAATTTTAATTTCTGACTTCTTTGTATCGCAACACTTGTAATGGCCCCCGGGGTCAGCCGTCCGTCCAGGCTAATCTTAACAACAGCGCTTTATGCCGAACATGTATGAAATGTGGCTTATTGACTACGAGTCTGTTCGGCCAAGATTGCAGGATATGGGCAAATTCCCTATTTGCATGTTTGTAGACCAAGTCACAACAGTAAACGGCTGGTAATCCCGAGCGGTCAAGATGGCTTCATAGCACAGCACAGAATTTGGTTCATCTTGCCTGCTCACGGAGCTATATAGCAGGCAATAATACATCTTTTTTTATTTTCAAATTGCAGTCGTGGATTCTTTCCCCAAGAAGCGTGGTATATCCCGCAGCGCTGTTCATTTGTGGGAATTTTTACTTGAACTTCTCGCTGATGAGCGTTATTCGTCTCTAATTATGTGGACAAAGCGAGAGAAAGGCGAGTTCAAACTTCGTAATCAGGAAGAAGTGGCCAAACGTTGGGGAGAGCTTAAACAGCGCCCGGGAATGAATTATGACAAGCTGAGTCGAGCGCTCAGATACTACTATCAAAAGAATATTATAAAGAAAGTAAGTGAATGAAATTCAGTGGAACCACTGTAAGAAGTAACTCCGAGGGCCCGGAGAACCATATGAAAGGTCGGAATCATGCTCGTCGGAAAATTTGAATTAAATCCCTGACGGAGACCACCCTGGGCGTGGCTCGAGATTTACTTTTATACTGATGCTACTTAAAACGGAATAGGCTCGATTATCTGCCGCTATTCAGGAAGGGAGCCCGCGCTAGTAGACCGGACTCTAGAGACCGGTGGAAATCGAGCTTAAAAACGGAAATAAGTGCGTTGTTTTAGTGTTATGTCTTCGAGTGCAGCCTAAAAGACACTTTGGCAGTTAAAAATAGCGACATAGTGGCGTTTCGTCAGCAACATCCTAAGTGAGACCAGAATCCTTGATTTATATCCCCAAGCGAGACGACGAGCATCCTCAACCTTTTGATATGGGAGTCCTTCCCGCCCGGGAAGTAAATAAGTAAAGAAACGTTAACCTCAAGTGTCTTTGTTCATCCATAGCTACCCTCTTTGTTCTTTATCTCCTTTCTTTAAAAAAACTTTGACTATTTAAAAACCCTACCATCCTCTAAAAGCCGAACGAAATCCAAGACGAGAAAAACATGTACTTCTTTAAGACCAAACCTTTACCCTATTTCAGACTAAATGGGCTCAATAACCGACGGTAGGTATCCTTACTTTCAGACAGTCAAAAATGAAATTCTACCCGATACCAACGATGCGGTGCATCTTACATATCACATTGTATTTTAATGACAGGTCAGTGGTCAGCGGCTAGTGTACAAATTTGTTGATCTGCCGTATAATTACAAGCCGATAAAAAACCTTTACGACAGCGGCATCTTAGAAAGAGAGAACGACGTTCAAACTAAAGAAAAACAAGAAACGAGTTCTGGAAGACAGGAAACATTTTCTGGGAGACAAGAAGCATTCCAAGTGATATCTCACCAAAGCTACATCAACAGCACCACCGTCCCAGAGTTCAAAACTCCTCAAGAGCCAATCAGAAGTCAGCATGTCATTCACGTGTCCCCCATTGCGAACGGATGTCATTGTAATGGAGTGAATCGCGGAGTCAGGCACATTTCAGTGCCTGTCATCATGACGTGTGGTCACCCTTCAGCTCTACCACGTAAGACCGTCTCTACAGATGGCCAAGCTTTGGCATAAAGAGCGTTTCAGTTCAGCTTCATTTCCTTGTTATCTATTTTGTTCCTATGTTTTCCAAAAATATTGTAGCTAGACCAAAGTAATGTGTCACGCCAGCCTGATGGGTTTGATGATAAATAACTCGTTTGTTGCGCATGCGCAATTTGCAATTTACGAGTTAAAAAGTGTCACACCAAATACAGTAAAATGTTTACAATGTAGATTGTGTTCCTTTCACGATATTTTAAATGAATAGGTCACGCTATTTTCACGATTTTTACATGTCTTCCCTGACTACCATTGAAAGCAGAAGTGTATAATATTGATTAAATCATGCAATCTCAGAAATATTATTTAACAAACTGCCTAACAAAGAATAGATTAGTGTAGTCTGTCACTCCTTAAAATGGTGTATGGAGCTAACGAATAATTTCAAATGTTTAATTGTTTTTTGCTGTATTTGTATTTGAAAATTATAAATGATTACATCTAAAAAAGTAAACCAACAAAAACAAACAAAGATTATTTTAAGCTTGGTAGCTAGACGGCATCTTTGTACAAACTTTCCAAAATTTAAATCGATTTGTTTGTAACCTTTTAAAGCTTTGTCTAGTTTTAATTATTGATTAACACGTTGTGTTCTTGTGTAATTTTAGCTGATTATTCAGAACTTCATTTTCATTTAAAATTCATTTAGTTCATATGGGAAAAAAAAGATAACAAAATTCGTGACCAGTTTTATGATAATAATTAAGCCCTGTTAACTACCGCATCTTGTCGGCGGACACCTCCCTAGCTCATGAGATCGCTTGCGTCAACACAGGAGATCCGGAAGCTGAGGACCCGTCCACACTACGCCGGAGAAAATTAAAAACGCACCAATCAGCGGTCATTTTGGATTTGTGTTTGAATAAAACTCGGGCAGGGAAATCACGTGATTATCGTGACGTCATCGTTTTCAAAAAGCTGGCGTTTTCAAATTCCTTCGGGAAACCCATTCTCAATGTATGACGGTTTGAAGACCGTCTTCGAGAAGCTCCGTTTTCGTATCGGATTAGTGTGGACGGTAGGCGTAACCGTAGAAATAACGCTGCGTTTTCAAATTTCCCCGGCGTAGTGTGGACGGGGCGTAAGATTGGTGAGCACGCAATCTGCTAGTTGCTTGCAGCTGTGTAAACGGGAGCTGAGCTAAAATTAAATGGCTGCATTGTGCCGCAGAAATAGGTTTGCTTTTATTGGCTTATATGCTTTGACCAGAATATAAATGAGTAAATAACCAAGCAATTAACATTTTCTTCCTCTTTTTCTGTATATTACCGCTTTGTGAAGTATGTTTTCGTTTCAGAAACTGATCAACGGATTTTTAACAGCTGAAATTTTGAAAAGAGAACACGTTTTACCATTGATTTTTTTGACTTTCACGGTTCAAGTTTGAAGCACTGTCAAACTACTCGCAAAATAGAAGGGTGAAGCCTTTATATCTTTGAAATGCTTATGATGTATAGTGCCGCATAATAACATTTTAGTAATATATTAATCCTAGGGCTCATGAGCGTATTTAAAGTATCCAAGTATTTTTAAAAAAATTATTTCGATTTAAGATTAAAACTAGCTGATATTCTTGTGCTGGCAGATCCTTTTTCAATGTATGTTTTTTAATGAAGTGACACTTAAATAGGTGTTTCCTTGTAGAATTGAATGTAATTTAGCATTTTAGCAATAAACATATATTATTCGATGTATTTAAAGAAAATTGTCACCTAGAGATAATAAAGGAAGTATTTTTAAAAACTCAATGATTTTATTTTTAACTGAATTTAATTTAACTTTAAAGTCCTAGTTAATGTAAAACACGTCACATTTTAATGTTGAAGTAAAGTTCAGTTTTGGAGGAAGAAGGTAAATTCATTTTGTGCGGTCCCATGACGGCGTTTACTTCCCCACTTTTGCATTTCGGACCAAGAAGGTCAGGTGAGCTCTTCACCTATTTCTCTCTTTTCTCTCTTGCACTTAATTAACCCTAAAACCAATTCTGACTATTATAAAAACCATACGTCTTATTTCACTCATGTGAGCTCCCGCGTTAGACTCACAATACACTGATACTATACAGCTTTTTGCGAGAGCATGAAAGGTACACGAAGCCTTTTCATCAACAACCCACGCATTGACGGTAATATTTTCACACATGAAACGTTGACGTTATACTCTTTTTCTGCTTGATCGAGATTCATTCTTTTTCTTTTTTTCCTTTCAAATGGAAACTAATTAAAACATGATGTTTTGCACTGCAGCTGTTCATTTGTGTGAGGTTCTTTCAGATTATCTTGTGACGTAAAGGTTGATGACGTCAGAGTGTGTTGCCTTTTAAAACTTCTTTTCAGATATTTGCATCGCATTTTTAAATTTTCCCAAACACGGTTTACGCTTTCAGGTTCGTAGCTTTTAAAAGACAAGCCAAGACAATTACCTCAGTCCTCTTTTCACTTTTGTTGTTTATAGTTATCATAACACTTAAAAAACCTGGGAAGAGAATTTAACCATAGACACTGCGTCAGTCATAACTTTTCATGGACATCGCCTCTTTGTGGCTAAGGCCCTGGCTTTATTTACTCATTACTGACAAATGAACTTTTGAGCAAGGTGTAGACGGCTTTCTAACCCGCTGCTCTTATTTAAGTTGGACCAGATAATTGAATTTCGTGGAACCTTCATTCATCTAAAACCTTTTTGTGCCGTCGAGTGCTTTCTGCCGAAAATAATGCGACTAAAACTCTAGCACTTTAAAAATTTCTGTCCCTGTTAATTATGGCTTTATATTTTATTGTAATTATGAATCCATTTTTAAATATTTTATAATGTTATTTACCTGACTCTCGTCATTAGTGGAACGCGTGGGTCGACAACTCACGGAAATAGTCCCCATCGCATGCAACTTTTTTTAACTGATCACTTTTGTTCAGACATTATGTCTCTCTTTCCCAGCTGAGTCGATGCTCTTCCAAAAAACTAATTTAGTCGAGATCTTGCTGACGCTGTGCCAGCTTGAGTAAATTTTCTGTTTATTCTGTGTAAATAACCTGTCAGATTTGAGTTATCCTGAATTTTCTGCTAATTATTCCCACGAACTCTGCGACACACGTAAGCAGAGTGGAAACGTCAGAGGTCGTTGCCAAGCAACGTTGAATTTTTTATAGTTACACGGACTGGGCTTATTCCGCTGATCACTATAATGCCGTTTAATGGAATTGAAACAGCTGAAGGATAAACAAACCATAGTTAGCAGTTAGCGATATTTTCCCAAAAACTGGGAACAGAATTTGAAAAAGTATGTCCAAAATCTTCAATGTCGTGCATGTGTTCCTCATAATATTAAACAACAACCTGAGTGCAATAGTATAGCACTTTTTAACAAATGAATGCATGAACCATTATTTTTACGTTTCAACTGAAACTGATGTAAGTATGCTTCTGGACTTTTGACTTTCGAAGTCTTTTTGACGTATATATGATAGTGCCAGCTCAACTCTCCCTACCTAAATGTGTGGTAATGTATTAATATTGTAAGGAGAAATCCACGGCTGATCGTTCTTGGAATGTGATTTGTACCTAAGAATTTCTAAGGACAATTGAGGACTGTACACTGTACTAGTATTATTATAACTATCAGAGATATTATTAGCATGGATTAAGAAAAGACCTGAAAAGAAAAAAACAACATACAAAAAATAAAATAATAATAATAAGAAATTAAAATAAACTAAACAGAAGCCTCTTCTGTCTCAAAAAGAACGTTTGTATAACCTACTATTTCTTCTATACTACATGTCATTTTTTATCAAAATTTGTAATTTTGCATTTTTTTAAATAGATAGTTAAATAGATATTTTAATATCATTTAGTTTTCTTTGTAAATTTTATGTTATACACGGCTCCACAAGCCTGTAGCTTTAAATTTTTACGGTGTATAAATAAAGTTTTATAGTGATAATGATGATGATGATGATGTTGTTTTCGGGATGCTTAATCTCAGTTCTCATTTATTACATTGGTGATTTATTCTCTTAGTTATTGGCTATGCAGAATCGCTTTCACGATCAGTTAACATTTTGTTTTGACTGATATTTTACTGCTATCATTGGGTTCAAGCCTGCTGGAGCGCACCTTCTGTCAGCTTACACAAAATATTTGGTCTTTTCATCGGTATCAGTAAATGAACCAAGGCGTGCTGATTATAAACCGACTTCCTAATTAAGACTAACCTATATCGTTAACCCTAATTTGCTAGTTTTTTGTTAGTATTATTCGCATCGCGTGGGTGAGTAAAATCGCTTCTAAAAGGTCACTGTGGAACTTGTTAAAAACGTGATCTTTATTTCAAAGATGTTCCGGAAAAAGTAATGCATTAAAACGGCAGGACACGTAGAATTCGAAACAAGAATTATCGATAACATCAACTTCGAGTATAATAACACAAGGTACGCCTGTAGTGCTGAATACTGTATTGCAAACATCCCACAAACATTACGAAACTGAAAATAGCTATGAGTGACAATCTTTAGAAACAGTGAAGAGAATCTATCACCTTGTCCTCTCGCTTTCTCTTTAAGATTTACCCAAAAGGGAATATACGTATTTTAAAATCTTTACATTGATAAAGATCAGTCGCTCTTAATAGCGCAGGTCTTGAACAGGAAAAAAGTTTCCGTTCGCTATCAGCCTCACGCATTTGGTATACTAATTTAAATTCTTTATAAATTAATCTATATTGAACTCAGCATGGCTAAATTCAAAAAACGGCAGCTGCTAAAGGCACTGTTTTTACTTTTTATATAAGAAAACCTTGCTTACGCTATTCAGATCAAAGAGACCCGGGTCACTAATACACTGTTTTTTTCGGAACTATTTGGAAAATTTGACTTATCACCGTACAGTAATAAGAGGATTCTGCTTTCCTCATATCACAGGTAAAACCGACATTGCAGATTTTGTTTTCTATTTGTCTCAGAACGCGACCATACAACCATGTTTCGTTGTTATGTTCGACGTTAAACATTGATAGATATCGATAAATTTGACAATGACTGATGCATATGCCAACTGAATATTTTAGCCATAAATTGGTCAACGGTGGATTAAGCATAATTTCTAATATAAATGACAAAATTGATATAGCACAAAACCGCATCTCGTCTAAACTCCCGGTGGATAAAACTAACACCATCTCATTCAATTTGGCCATTTTTTACTTTGAGGAAAACAATATTTCTATGCTGAAAAATTAGGCGTAGTAAGAGAGAGTTCTCAGCTTATTATTATTATAATGAAAACAAGACTCAACGGATCACGGCTAAAAACCTAAGGTACGTTTTGGCGGGAAAAATCATTTGCGGAAGCAGAAAGCCATTTGAACGCACAGTTCCTCCAACGACCAAGTCCTATTCCTTATTTAGCATTCAAAACTGTTAAATGTCTCATAAACATTGTGAGTTACAACCTGTCAATAACAGATTTCAGCCAAATGTTATTATAAACGTGCGCCTCTGACAATTAATATTATTCCGTTCAAAAATCGACTTGCTAATGATGATACGATGGAAAACGATTTTCGCCTCAGAATGTCGACCTTTTACTCCACAGTGTTTCTCTGTTTGCCCTGAACGCTTTTATAAAGGCAACTAACGACCGATGCGATACGTCCTTGGCTTGGCGCCCATATCTACCGGGGAATACGATTGTGTATTTCACCTGCGGTTGCGTGGACAATGACGTTATTTGAGTGAACGGATGGAAATGCAGTTAAATGGTATAGTTGGAAAGATTGCGCGGCGCGGTTGAGTATGAGTAAACACAGCAAAGATGGTTTCGTTCGTCCTCTCTGGCTGACAGATCCACCGATTGAAGGACAGGAATCGTTTTTTGAAGGTGTTCCGATGGCGGAGCTCAGCTTAACATCCGTAACGACATCAGATCAGAATCGACCGAGTTTTAGATCCTTAATACATAAAGTCAACGAGCCAAGAGAGACAAACGGCTTTATGCTGAATCATGAAAGTAAACTGGAGGAATCGTTGTTAAAGGCTGTTCAAGAGGAAAACCTTGAAGTTGTCGAGGTTCTGATCGATCATTATCTACAGTTGTTTAATTTGGAAGAGTTATACGAGAATTCATCCTCTGTCTCCCAAGCGACTCCACAGTCCTCGCGCAAGACACCGGTTAATTTTCTTCCGCTTGTTGTTGCTGCGCACTTGGGTAACTATGACGTTCTGAAACTGTTTATTTCCAAAGGGTTCAAGTTGGAAAGGCCACACGATGTTCTCTGTAAATGCGAACAATGCCAGGAAGATTACTTCAGACAATCTCAAAAAAGACTTGATATCTACAGAGCTATGGCAAATCCAATGTGGATTTCCTTAACAGGAAGCGATCCGTTTATTACCGCTTTTAAACTGAGCAAGGATTTAAAATCCTCTGCCAAACAGGAGGACGAATTTGAGAAAGACTATCTTGCCCTGTCGCTTCAATGCAGTCAGTTTGCGCTTGGACTTTTAGACGAATGTAAAAGCTCTAAGGAGCAGACCACAGTTCTGAACTTCCCTGGGAGTGATGCCTCCGAGGACGAATTTTGGGACGAAGCATTGGGGCTGGTTCACAGCGCAATTGCCTACGGACAGAAAGAGGTAAGGAGAGAATTTTATATAATGAAATTAGCTCTCACTGAGTTTGCCTGAACAGGTATGTTGGCAAAAACAGCAGAAGTTATGTTTTCCTTTAGGCGAATTTTTATTGTTTACAAAATGTGTTTTATCTTTGCTTTATTTAATCAACTTCTCGCAGGTATCTCAGTTTACCGGCAAATGCCCTCAACTCGGCTTAGATTTAGGTCAAGATTTTATTGAGCTGCTTTATTTCGGTCGGTCTAATATTAGCTTCAGTATTCCGGCTGGCAGAAGGGATAAATGTGTATGGTATTGGTAGGCGATGATATTTCCCCTTGTGAATTTGCATACAACAATTACCCATCGTTTCGTACTTAGCGGGTATCACACAAACCCTGACATGTATGCTTTGAAGCACAAAATCCATCTGTAAACTTGTTTGAAATGTCTTTCACTTCAAACCAAAAAAAAAGAACATTATTATTTTTAGATTATTCAAGTTGTGTTAATCGAAAAGCAAATCACAACTTGGAAAGGTGTATGAAATACAAAAACATCTCTTTACGGAGATTTTTTGCTCGTTCTTTTCTGGTTCAATTTCACTTGTTTCACCAGGGAAAGTGGCGTTAAAAATCACGAAAAATGTTATTGGGAATTTATCGTAATATTTTGTTGTCGGGAAAATTCGTTAACATTCGGCGGAATAGTAAAGGAACATTTCCTGACAGAATAAGGCGCAAATCTTGTCTCGGTGAAAGTGAATAAGCTACACCTAGAAATTAACAGTGTTTGTATAGTACAGTCAAGTGTTAACGCAAATTGGTATTAGCAACTGGTTTGCGGCATATGCCGAACAAAGTACACAAAACTCAAACTATGGGCAACCGACAAGTGGAAAATCAAGACAGGGTTATGTTGCAACCTTAGTGGAAATATATAGTTTGCAGTGGAAATTCAAGAGAAAGAACTCGTGTAAGATTTAATATTCGATCGACAATGATATCCCGCGAGGTTCCGTCAGGTTAAAGATGGCGCGCGCGTCAAGCCGCTTATCTTCAGTACATGAATTGGAAAGCAGGTGTCATCATTGCGTGCATGCTGCAATTGAAATTTCTTCTTGTCTGTATGAACGCAATAAACATTATTCTTCTCAAAAGAAACTGAGTCTTGACTCGCGCATGGTTTTATAAATAGCTTTTAGTAAACCAATGTCGCTAATTATGGTTTAAAATGTTAACGCTGTAAATGATAAATTTGTCGCTTGGGAAACAAAAAAGGAACTGCAACGCTATAGGCGATTATCAAGAGACGGGTGAACTAAAATGATAAAAAGTCATTAATATTTATGTTGTATTTTTCTCAGCATCCTCCAATATTTCTTTTATAATTGAAAACTTGAAAAAATGACAGGATGCTACGACAGATTTCCACACACAAAACCCTTGAACTGAAACAGCCGTTATTTCAGACGAGTTTTATTTTTAAAATCACGAAGCAGCCTTCTTTTTTACTGAAATGTTTAGCAGGTATTTAGATAAATTATTGTTGTCTTGAATTAAAGAAGAGCCTGACTTAACTCTCACAATTGTGTCACCGAATTGCATCAAACATTGAGCGATTCTTGTTTCATGCATATGTCAACCTCTCTTATAGTTGCTCTTCAAATGATGGACGTACAGCGGAAAATCCGCCAACGTAATATTGTTTCTGTAGATCCATATACATCACTTTTGTTCATCTTGCCGGACTTCATTATCATCGAAATAGAATCCTGCAGAGTCGCTAAAAAATTCCCGAAAATAAATAAGACATGTTGTCTTCGAAAAAAATTATTCGTGGTTTCTTACGAAATATTTTTTACCAAACCGAAGCCTTCACCATTAAGAGACGTTAGCAAAGTTTTGGCCATAATAAAGGAAATTATTCTTATTATTCACTTTCGAGAACTTTATTTAACATAACTAAATACCTGTGTAAATATGGCTTGAAGACGGCCACTTTCATTTCAAAATTCTTTTATGATTTTTTTTCACGATGTTAGTTAAAATTTTCATTCAAAATAATGAACAGTAATGATCTTTAACCACGATATACTTCTGTATTAGGTAGAAATATTACTCCTCTTTAATCACTGAAAATAATATGGATAAGCTTTAATTTATCAAGACATCTGCTTTGTTTTCCTCACGTTAAAGCACGGTAATTCATCTGTGAAAAATACACATGTTTTAACTGAGGTTGATGTGTTCGACCAAATCGACTGAATTCGAGTTAGTAAGTAGATTATGAAAATTGTCAGTTGAGGCTAACCATTCTGTGGTTAGGTTAAACGGCGTTTGTATCATGACTGATAATGGTTATCCAAAGCTTATTGAACAAATTAGTTCTATGGCTGCAATAACCCCAAGGTTTCTTTTTATCAATCATTTTAGTTGTTAGATTAAAATTTCTACGGCGGTAGATGAGCCCAGAAAAAACTCCAAAAGGTTCCACTTTTTTTCAGAATTTTAAAGGAATATATAAATGCATCACATGTCAGATTTATTACTATTGCTAGCTTTCAACATCAGTTTTAATATTTTTTTAAGTTTTAAGTATTAATCTTGTCGGCAAGTTTCCCTTTATCAGTTCTTCCGGTCAGATTCTTGGCATGGGTCCGTGAGAAGTTGTTGATTATAGCGATGAATTCATCATTCTATAGAGAACGTTTTTGAAATTCTAAATTTCTTGGGTTTCCTCAGCAGTTAGTCACCGCCTCCAATTTTTTTTTGTAAAAAATTAGCTCGATGAACATATGTTTAACGCCCAGTTTGAAAAAACTAAGTAATACCCGGTGATTGCCATGTATCTCTTTTCCGTCATTTATTATTTATTTATTCTTGCATAATATCGACCACGGGTGCTTCAACAACGCTGTTGCCGAAAAGGGTAAAGAAAAATTACAAAAATAAAAATATCCATTTTTGTGCAACAGCACTTTTAATGTTTAGTTGCCTGGTTTTCTCATGATTTAAGTTTTAACCGGAGAATATACCACACTTAAAATCGGTTTGACATCAGTTCTCGTCTTTTTCGTACTTGGGATGGTGACGCCCTTCTTCAAAGGAATTATTTTCTCTGCTACAGCGTTTCAGCCAGGAACGTTTACTAACTATTTACAAATATCATTAATATAATAACCTTAACTTGGTTTACGCACATCAATTCTTGTAAAAATTATCAGTGTGCGGAGCAAATAAGGGTTGTCAAAAGTAATAACGTAACAATTTTTTCATCGAAAAGACTGCTTGCTCACAGCCTAAATTAAACTAAAACAAACTTTACCATAGGGCAGTTATTTTTAAAATTAATTTAAGATATTTAACTTTGTTTTTTTTTTTGTAATAAATTTGTTTCAGTTTGTCGCTCATCCATTCTGTCAACACCTTGTCATGAGCTGTGTGTTCCGTGGTGTTCCATTCTGGCGCACGCGTGGGATTGCGTTCCGAATATTATACGTCTTAACCCAAGTGCTCATCTATCCAGTTATGGCTTTCCTCTACTTCTTCTTTCCGTTCTTAGAACTAAGCCGTAAAATTAAAAGACCATTCGTAAAGTTCATCAACCACACGGCTTCTTTTGTGATTTTTCTGTCTCTACTCGCAGCTTCCTCGCACGAGAAATTCGACATTCGTTTCGGCAAAGTACCATCCGCACTGGAGTGGATCATCTTAATGTGGATTCTCGGAATAGCTTGGGGAGAGTGCAAACAGGTATGGCACGATGGAGTACTGAGATACTTGTCCAGTGGATGGAACTGGATGGATATCGGAATGATTGTTCTTATTCTCGGTGCGTACATCGTGTGGTTTGGACGAGCCATTGCAGACCGTTTCACGCTCATAGACCGCACAGTTGACCAACTGCTGCTAAGTGCAGCGGATGGTTTGTACGCCATAGGCGTGATCGCCAGTTTCTTTCGGTTGGTGTACCTTTGTCAAATCAGCCGGTACCTAGGACTTCTCCAACTGAGTTTAAGTCGAATGGTGCGTGTCATATTTCAGTTTGCGTTCATCAGTGTGGTGATGCTGATATCCTTTTCTGTGGGTATGACCATGTTGTATTCCTCGTCGTTTGAAGCGTATGGTTATGAAAGACCACAGAGAAACACGACAGATGTAATACACAGTCTTATAAGCAAGGGATATCACAGGTGAGACGTGTTTTACAGGACCCTGTTGGTTGAATAACAATTCATACAGTCGATCCCCTATATCTATTAAGCGGCCACCCTCGGGGAAATGCAAGGTGGCCGCTCAATAACGGTTGGTGTACCTTGAATATTTTCACCATCGGGTTAATTTTTTAGTGAACATGGAGTCGCTTCAAGACAGCCACGATAAACGTGTGTCTGAATGATTTTATTACTCGTCAACTTCTATTTCGGACGTTTATCTGCCATCGCCTTTTCCATAACAAAGTTTTTAAATTTTGGGGGGCTGTTTAAAAGGGGTAAAGACAATAGAAAAACCCTCATCGGACGACCAAAAGGTGGCTGCGGCCGCTTATATAGAGGTGGCCGGTTAATAAGGGTTTTATTTACAGTATTTTACTGACAATAATTTCGGAACTGATAACTGGCCGCTTAAGAAGGGGTGGCCGCTTAATAGAGGTTGGACTGCACTATATATAATCCAGGATTTCAAGGCTATTACACACCACCCTAGATAGGACTCCAGTGCATCACATGTTAAACCACCCCTCCCCGTCATGTGTTTAAGGTACGATGCTCCCTAACGTGTCAATGATACCGATTTATATTCTAAAGATTACCGTGCACCTTTAGAGGCAATCGGGGGGTGGGGAGAGGGTAAATTTTTTGGGGTTTTTCTTTTTCCCACCCCATCTTCAATCCCCCTTCCCTGACCAGTTTATTTCTCTCCCGAGACTGTTCTCAATTTGAATTGTACATCGCTGGCTTTATCTCTATTTTGTATTGTGTGTGTTACAGTCTGATTACAACCATGGTGACGCTTATGTGGGCCAGTTTAGACATGGTCACACTTGATAGTCTCCAAGTTTTCAAAGATCAAAGTCTGATTCAGATCTGGACTGCATCTTTGTTTACTCTCTATCACGCTGCTTCACTCATTGTTCTTCTCAACATGTTAATCGCAATGATGAGCAACTCGTACCAACGAGTAGAGGTATGTAAAAACGATCTGAGATCAGGGCAAAATCTATACATATCAAAAGTGCGTACCAATTCTTGAAAACAAACAATAGCTCCCACAGCGACTATTCTCTGGGACAATATTCCCACTCACCTTAAAGATCTTAATGCCTTCAACTTCTCTAAACAACTGAAATTGTATATACTGTCTGAACAACATTCTGAAAACTCGTGATTGATTTTCTCCATTTTATTATACATGTATACGTCTCTTCTCTTAAAATCTTAACAATACTGTATTCTCTCAATGTCTATATAGAAACCTTACAATTACTGGAGACTGACTAGAAAACGTTCGGGTTGCTTCAGTTCCAGACTCAACTGTACTTTATTTTACTGTCCTGCCGTTTATATATATATATATTTTTTTGTAAAAATGTTTGAGTGAACAAGGTTGTTATTGTTGTTGAGAGAAATTATCAGTACACTTAGTAAGAGCACGGTAATTGGTTGCAGGTATAAGTAATGGATAAATAAAAACGGGGCCATATTGGTATACCCCAAAACGTCCTATTACCAAACAATAGTTGCAGGGCGAAAGACTTTAAAGTGGGGCCTCCGGTGTCCTGCACCACTCGACATACACAAGACATACACTTACGTTTCAACCTGGGCGATCAACCACGCAGAAGAACAGGAACGATTTTCCTTTTCTTGCGCTCTCGCTAACGCATGTGTTTTTGCGTTGATCAAAACGTATAGGCTTTTAGTCTGTGTGGACCGCCCTGTGGTCTAAGTATTTTTGTCTGACGGTCGTTTGAAAATCATACGACCCCTATGCCTACGTCGATTGGGTAAGCCAGCTTTATAACAGTGTAAAAAAAGCAAATTATTTCATAGCCAATTCAAGTAACTTTGCGTCTATGATGTACGACTCGATCCACAAGAGGTATTTATTTTTTCTGTTCTTTTTCCTCAGGACAATATAGAAACAGAGTATAAGTTTGCTCGAGCCCAGCTATGGGCTGATTACATTGGAGATGGTGTTGCTACTCTCCCTCCCCCCCTGAATCTCATTCCCTCTCCAAAAAGCCTGGTACGCTGGGCCTGTAAACTAACAAACCGATGTTTTGGAGTTCCTAAAAAGTTGCCTTGCTGCACTAATGTAAGTAGATATTGATCAAAAATCGGCAAAAAATACAATGAAATATAAATATTAACTGTCAATTTAGAGCGGTTTTCAATTAAGTGTCCAAAGTAATCAGACAACTATTTTGGTTTTGGTTTTAGTACGATTTGAGATTGGCTGAGTATTTGGTAAGTAAATGGTTTCATTTTGCCACAATAGATGAAAACCGCTCTATACTTGGTCAGTTGACAGTTATCAGTGATAGTCTGGTAACTTATCTCATGACAGTAAGGATGTTGAGGCCGACACAAGACTCGCGAGTGAAATTTTCACGTAGGGGCCAAACCACCCCACTAATGTTTCATGAAGGCTATATTTGCTTGGTTTATATATTTCTGAACCAAGTTTGGCAAATGAGCTTTCTTTGTTCTCCAGTTTATTTTAATTTGGAAGTTGTGACAAAACGTCAGATTATGACGTCTTAATTGATGACGTCANAGATGTTGAAATGATCGACCATTGATTTGTTGAAGTCGAGGTATGACACCATTTTCAGTAACAATTTCAGGCCACTCGCGTCAGTGAGAAAGCTGAGTTAGAGATACACTATTTCGTCGTAAACACTGAGGCTTGTTATACGTAAAACTTTCGTCCGTTACGTTAAGGGCGTTGAGATCGAGAAAGTGGACCCACTTGTCTCTTGGCTGATAAAAAAATGGCCGTTTTAATATTGTTTTACGCTCACCCAGACTATTCCAAAACGGGGAGCAATCATGGATAACAATACTTTTTCCTTTATACAGGGGCAGTTCCGTGTTTATCAACACGGTAGCATGGATGTGGAACAAAAGAAACAAAACTACCAGGTAGATAACAACAGTGCTCAGAATCTCATTTCTCATTAACACATTAATGCTTTTTCCAACAGACAAGAGATAAGAATCTAGAAATCCATCTTCTAAGCAGATGTTGCCTTTATGAACCACCATATGTTCAGAAAAATCACTGAAACGTTTTTAGATTAACAAAAAAACAGTATCGAAAAGTAAAAAAGTAAAAGGGTAAACAAGAAAAGCTGATGGACAAACAATTTTCCCTCGCCTTGTTTACTCTTCCTCTCCTCTTTACTCCCCCTTATGATGTCTCTCTAGAGCCGCTCTAATTTCTACTTTCCTCTTACTTAATCCCCCATTGCACCCACCATTACTCCCACCCCATACTTACCTCCCCCTGTTCCTTACCTCCCCCTGTCACTTCCCCTCTAACTCCCCTCCTATTTCCATCGCCTAACCGCCTTAGTCTGATTTTCCTTTTTAAATTCCCCACCTTTACTTTATTACAGGAATTATTTTTTTTAGCGTTCCTACTATGAATTGAACTCACGACCTTCCGCTCTGAAAACAACCGCCTTAACCACTACACCACACACTGTACGCTGCTGAAAGAACACCACTTTTTATTCGGTTTTATAACTTATTAGTCCCAGGCTTACCTCGGTCAAATGTCCAAATACGTTTTAAGAACCTCTTACACGAGGAAAGCGCATGTACAGCTCCGATTACGGCTGAGAACATTAACAACAAAAATTTATCTCTTTTTATTAAAGAGTGTAGTCCGTGAGCTTATCAGTCGCTATTGGTCCAGACGTCGACGCCAGAAAAACCCGTCAGAAAGTGTCAGTCCCGATCAGGTGGCTGCTATACGGGCGGTAAAAGACGAGGTGGCAGACATGTTGAGCGAGATAAGAAATATTCTGAAAACAAACAAGCGAAGCAGAAGTCGAGAACGGATTCTTAGATCCGAGGAAATCGCTATAGAGGTAAATGGTAGTCCTTGAAATTATCAAGCGGTATTATTTTGTTTTATTTTATTTTATCATACTAATGGAAGTTTGAAAAATAAATCGATAAAGAAGTACTTTACAGTACCTTTTATATCAACCTTTACATCATGCTATAGAAAATACAGCTAATCACAATGCCGGAAAGCCGTTGTATATACTCGAAGAAATCGACGGTTTTGCATCAAACCTTCCCATCAAGTGCTGCACTGATAAATATTGTGTTGAAAACTGTATTTTCTATGACATGCTATAAAATAGTTATGCAACTCTCTCTCGTGGTTTATAACATGCAAAATCCCCGGCTTGTCACTTTTATTTTCTAAAGGCTTGCGTGTATACCGGGAAATACAAGTGACTCGTGTGATATTCCATGGTATACCATTTGAAAACGTTGCATAACTAGACTGGCTACAAAAAGAAATAAAAAATACAGGACTATTTAAATCATACATTGAAGACTCTTAACGCGGGTTTACTTAATGGAAAAACAAAACGCAAGTTATCTACATTGTCCGAATACGGCTGAAAATGGACATGGATAAAAATTTCGTCGGAGTGTAACCAAAAATTACATGTTGTAAATGAGTTTTAAACGGAGACAGACAATAATGGTAGAGCACTGAATTAGCTTAAAACAAACTGCGTACTAAACTATATTTTCTTCTCTGTTTTAGACTGGAGAGTCTTCAAAAACAAACGGAAATCACAATCATTCGTTTGAGCTTTGACCAAGATATCTATGATTTTGATACTGTACAGTTCTGTGAATAGCATCACTCCGGAGGTGCTTTGGAAATTGATAATATTTATTAGAAAACAACAATGAAAGTTATAAAAATACCGTAAAATACTTAGAGGAAATTTCAAATTAGCCTTCTTGATTGCATGCTTGTTAAACAGTCAATAGAAAAGTGTTTGCAAATGTAAGATAGAAAGCTAGAAAACTACTTAAGTTCTGGACGAGCAACGGAGAATTATCCCTCTCCGGCGTAAGGGAGTTTGTAACTTTATAACTGTTTCTCCGAGAAGATGTGTTTGAGTCTGTTGCTATTTCGGTTCATTACGTAACCTTTGAGAGAACAAAAATAGCTAAGGTGTTATTCAGTCCTTTTCGTTACCAGTAAACTCACTCATGTCTGCTGGTTGTTTGATCTGCACATGTACAGCGGTCAAACGCAAAAGTCCAACTCCCCTTCCGGTTTCCCTTGTCTCGAAGTTTGTAAGTTTATGAAGCCAAAACGGGAAAGACTTTTATAAGAAAATGTGATAAATATTGCAGGGTAAACCGTCTCAACTTAAGAGCCAATAGACTGTGTGGTCAACATTTATTATTTTGTTATGCACATACAGCAAACAAAAACGTTTTTCTTTTGTCGCGTACACGCGTGTACCGCGCGTTTACCGCGCGTGTGCATTACGATTGACCACTTTGGATGTTAGATCAGTTTCAAACTGCAAAACTTCAACAACGAGCATGGCTTATCCGATAGCTAGTGATATTTGTAGCTCCTTATAGAAAATTTACCATAAGTTGAATTGCATTCCAAAGGGATTTTTGGTAACGTTTTACAATGACAAATTGACCCAAATAGCCTTTTAGAATATTTTTGTAGGGAATGTAATTTTTTTTTCATAATAATGAAAGATAGTCTGGGAACATCAGCAAGCCGCAGCTACATTTTCAACTCCTAGGTAATTAGATGTTGTAGAAATTTTCTTAAAGTGACCTTCTTGCCGACAAATTGTTATGAATAGGATACAAGACTGTGGCGAAATTGTTGGTATTCCTGTGTTCCCTTAGATGGCGGCAAAGTCACCAGTTTGCTCGACAAACTTTCTTCTTTATTATCGTTTGCAGAACATAAGCTTTATTACTCTGATTGATTTTCCTAACTCTTGTGTTTAAACCTGTCGCCTGAGATCGCGAGAAAGTAAAATACTGTGGAATACTGGTATGGATATCATCCGGGGTTGGAGGACTGGGCTCCAACCATTTCTTTGTTATATATGTAATTGTATTTAGGCTTAAAGGAGCGACGTCACGATTTGCACATCTTGAAAAGTTGAGCCTAAATTTTTCAAGTTCGTCGTTTGTAATCCGTGTTAATCTTCTCCATCCTTACTGAACCAATCCTTGTTCCTTTATGTTTTCATATTATCTCTTGTGTTTTTCTATCTTAGTAAAGTATTATTTTCAGGTGTCCTTCATTTAAAGGTCATTTTGTCAATAGTCAAAATAGCTCAAAATACCGTGACTGACCTCCTTCAATTTGCGTCTAATAGCAGATATTTTTTTAACATAACAATCTTTTTCCTGATAATGTTATGTATGTATGTAAGTAGGTACGTACGTTTGTTTTATGAAAAGTTATTTATTATGGTCTATACTCACTATGCATTCTTTCACTTACTGTTATTGGCAACATTAGATATATACCTTGCCTTCACTTATAATTTGTTGAACANCTCAAAATACAAAACTATAAAATATTTCAAACATACCGATCGCTTTCTAATACTCAAGTATTGCCTAAAAAGTGTCAACAGGTGTTCACTTTCTTTAATACTGTGGACAGAAATTTCAATTTGTGTAAACTATCTTTAACAACTGCATCAGAAAAAGTGAGCTTACATCTCAAAATACAAAACTATAAAATATTTCAAACATACCGATCGCTTTCTAATACTCAAGTATTGCCTAAAAAGTGTCAACAGGTGTTCACTTTCTTTAATACTGTGGACAGAAATTTCAATTTGTGTAAACTATCTTTAACAACTGCATCAGAAAAAGTGAGCTTACATCTCAAAATACAAAACTATAAAATATTTCAAACATACCGATCGCTTTCTAATACTCAAGTATTGCCTAAAAAGTGTCAACAGGTGTTCACTTTCTTTAATACTGTGGACAGAAATTTCAATTTGTGTAAACTATCTTTAACAACTGCATCAGAAAAAGTGAGCTTACATCTCAAAATACAAAACTATAAAATATTTCAAACATACCGATCGCTTTCTAATACTCAAGTATTGCCTAAAAAGTGTCAACAGGTGTTCACTTTCTTTAATACTGTGGACAGAAATTTCAATTTGTGTAAACTATCTTTAACAACTGCATCAGAAAAAGTGAGCTTACATCTCAAAATACAAAACTATAAAATATTTCAAACATACCGATCGCTTTCTAATACTCAAGTATTGCCTAAAAAGTGTCAACAGGTGTTCACTTTCTTTAATACTGTGGACAGAAATTTCAATTTGTGTAAACTATCTTTAACAACTGCATCAGAAAAAGTGAGCTTACATCTCAAAATACAAAACTATAAAATATTTCAAACATACCGATCGCTTTCTAATACTCAAGTATTGCCTAAAAAGTGTCAACAGGTGTTCACTTTCTTTAATACTGTGGACAGAAATTTCAATTTGTGTAAACTATCTTTAACAACTGCATCAGAAAAAGTGAGCTTACATCTCAAAATACAAAACTATAAAATATTTCAAACATACCGATCGCTTTCTAATACTCAAGTATTGCCTAAAAAGTGTCAACAGGTGTTCACTTTCTTTAATACTGTGGACAGAAATTTCAATTTGTGTAAACTATCTTTAACAACTGCATCAGAAAAAGTGAGCTTACATCTCAAAATACAAAACTATAAAATATTTCAAACATACCGATCGCTTTCTAATACTCAAGTATTGCCTAAAAAGTGTCAACAGGTGTTCACTTTCTTTAATACTGTGGACAGAAATTTCAATTTGTGTAAACTATCTTTAACAACTGCATCAGAAAAAGTGAGCTTACATCTCAAAATACAAAACTATAAAATATTTCAAACATACCGATCGCTTTCTAATACTCAAGTATTGCCTAAAAAGTGTCAACAGGTGTTCACTTTCTTTAATACTGTGGACAGAAATTTCAATTTGTGTAAACTATCTTTAACAACTGCATCAGAAAAAGTGAGCTTACATCTCAAAATACAAAACTATAAAATATTTCAAACATACCGATCGCTTTCTAATACTCAAGTATTGCCTAAAAAGTGTCAACAGGTGTTCACTTTCTTTAATACTGTGGACAGAAATTTCAATTTGTGTAAACTATCTTTAACAACTGCATCAGAAAAAGTGAGCTTACATCTCAAAATACAAAACTATAAAATATTTCAAACATACCGATCGCTTTCTAATACTCAAGTATTGCCTAAAAAGTGTCAACAGGTGTTCACTTTCTTTAATACTGTGGACAGAAATTTCAATTTGTGTAAACTATCTTTAACAACTGCATCAGAAAAAGTGAGCTTACATCTCAAAATACAAAACTATAAAATATTTCAAACATACCGATCGCTTTCTAATACTCAAGTATTGCCTAAAAAGTGTCAACAGGTGTTCACTTTCTTTAATACTGTGGACAGAAATTTCAATTTGTGTAAACTATCTTTAACAACTGCATCAGAAAAAGTGAGCTTACATCTCAAAATACAAAACTATAAAATATTTCAAACATACCGATCGCTTTCTAATACTCAAGTATTGCCTAAAAAGTGTCAACAGGTGTTCACTTTCTTTAATACTGTGGACAGAAATTTCAATTTGTGTAAACTATCTTTAACAACTGCATCAGAAAAAGTGAGCTTACATCTCAAAATACAAAACTATAAAATATTTCAAACATACCGATCGCTTTCTAATACTCAAGTATTGCCTAAAAAGTGTCAACAGGTGTTCACTTTCTTTAATACTGTGGACAGAAATTTCAATTTGTGTAAACTATCTTTAACAACTGCATCAGAAAAAGTGAGCTTACATCTCAAAATACAAAACTATAAAATATTTCAAACATACCGATCGCTTTCTAATACTCAAGTATTGCCTAAAAAGTGTCAACAGGTGTTCACTTTCTTTAATACTGTGGACAGAAATTTCAATTTGTGTAAACTATCTTTAACAACTGCATCAGAAAAAGTGAGCTTACATCTCAAAATACAAAACTATAAAATATTTCAAACATACCGATCGCTTTCTAATACTCAAGTATTGCCTAAAAAGTGTCAACAGGTGTTCACTTTCTTTAATACTGTGGACAGAAATTTCAATTTGTGTAAACTATCTTTAACAACTGCATCAGAAAAAGTGAGCTTACATCTCAAAATACAAAACTATAAAATATTTCAAACATACCGATCGCTTTCTAATACTCAAGTATTGCCTAAAAAGTGTCAACAGGTGTTCACTTTCTTTAATACTGTGGACAGAAATTTCAATTTGTGTAAACTATCTTTAACAACTGCATCAGAAAAAGTGAGCTTACATCTCAAAATACAAAACTATAAAATATTTCAAACATACCGATCGCTTTCTAATACTCAAGTATTGCCTAAAAAGTGTCAACAGGTGTTCACTTTCTTTAATACTGTGGACAGAAATTTCAATTTGTGTAAACTATCTTTAACAACTGCATCAGAAAAAGTGAGCTTACATCTCAAAATACAAAACTATAAAATATTTCAAACATACCGATCGCTTTCTAATACTCAAGTATTGCCTAAAAAGTGTCAACAGGTGTTCACTTTCTTTAATACTGTGGACAGAAATTTCAATTTGTGTAAACTATCTTTAACAACTGCATCAGAAAAAGTGAGCTTACATCTCAAAATACAAAACTATAAAATATTTCAAACATACCGATCGCTTTCTAATACTCAAGTATTGCCTAAAAAGTGTCAACAGGTGTTCACTTTCTTTAATACTGTGGACAGAAATTTCAATTTGTGTAAACTATCTTTAACAACTGCATCAGAAAAAGTGAGCTTACATCTCAAAATACAAAACTATAAAATATTTCAAACATACCGATCGCTTTCTAATACTCAAGTATTGCCTAAAAAGTGTCAACAGGTGTTCACTTTCTTTAATACTGTGGACAGAAATTTCAATTTGTGTAAACTATCTTTAACAACTGCATCAGAAAAAGTGAGCTTACATCTCAAAATACAAAACTATAAAATATTTCAAACATACCGATCGCTTTCTAATACTCAAGTATTGCCTAAAAAGTGTCAACAGGTGTTCACTTTCTTTAATACTGTGGACAGAAATTTCAATTTGTGTAAACTATCTTTAACAACTGCATCAGAAAAAGTGAGCTTACATCTCAAAATACAAAACTATAAAATATTTCAAACATACCGATCGCTTTCTAATACTCAAGTATTGCCTAAAAAGTGTCAACAGGTGTTCACTTTCTTTAATACTGTGGACAGAAATTTCAATTTGTGTAAACTATCTTTAACAACTGCATCAGAAAAAGTGAGCTTACATCTCAAAATACAAAACTATAAAATATTTCAAACATACCGATCGCTTTCTAATACTCAAGTATTGCCTAAAAAGTGTCAACAGGTGTTCACTTTCTTTAATACTGTGGACAGAAATTTCAATTTGTGTAAACTATCTTTAACAACTGCATCAGAAAAAGTGAGCTTACATCTCAAAATACAAAACTATAAAATATTTCAAACATACCGATCGCTTTCTAATACTCAAGTATTGCCTAAAAAGTGTCAACAGGTGTTCACTTTCTTTAATACTGTGGACAGAAATTTCAATTTGTGTAAACTATCTTTAACAACTGCATCAGAAAAAGTGAGCTTACATCTCAAAATACAAAACTATAAAATATTTCAAACATACCGATCGCTTTCTAATACTCAAGTATTGCCTAAAAAGTGTCAACAGGTGTTCACTTTCTTTAATACTGTGGACAGAAATTTCAATTTGTGTAAACTATCTTTAACAACTGCATCAGAAAAAGTGAGCTTACATCTCAAAATACAAAACTATAAAATATTTCAAACATACCGATCGCTTTCTAATACTCAAGTATTGCCTAAAAAGTGTCAACAGGTGTTCACTTTCTTTAATACTGTGGACAGAAATTTCAATTTGTGTAAACTATCTTTAACAACTGCATCAGAAAAAGTGAGCTTACATCTCAAAATACAAAACTATAAAATATTTCAAACATACCGATCGCTTTCTAATACTCAAGTATTGCCTAAAAAGTGTCAACAGGTGTTCACTTTCTTTAATACTGTGGACAGAAATTTCAA